CTCAGTTGGTTATGGACACAGGTTAATGGCGTATCAGTGGAGAGTGAAGTGTAGAGCGCTTCTGGACTGTCCCTGACCATCAGTACTGGTGTAGCAATCCAATATCTGATGAGGGATTTGGTGGATATTTCTAGACTCGCCATTTCCTGTTTGATCAGGTTTTCACTGGTACCACACTGGAGTGCCTGTTGGCCCTCCACTTCTGTTGCTGTACCTAGTTGGGCGAAAACGCGAGTCAAATAGTCTGTGGTATAGCAGAAATTTATGAAGGCTCTAACTAACAATTAGACTTGTACATGCAGTGGGACCCCAGGGTAGACCACATCGACAGTGTAAGATGGCAGTGCTGTGTTCTCCATGCTGTATCTTGTTGTTAACATCACGACCAGCGTAACCTGGCCCACCCACTTCTCCATAGAGACCTCTTTCCTTCATATCCCACTCCTTGTTCAGTTTCATTTTCCCACAATCGTCACGTAGTATGGTAGCGCTACTGGCATTGTGCCAATCGGATGCATCGCCATTATCGAGCTGACTGCCCCATACCTTATCAGTGAGCCTTCAGCTGGACAATCCGGATATGCTAGTTCAGTTTTGTTTTCAGCTCCGGTTCTTGGGAACAGCTGCCAGTATGTTACCCGTTTGATCTCATCTGAGTAGGATACACGTGGCGACGTTCATTGCTAGTTGATCGTGGTTACCGCCTATGCTTATACCGACCGTTTTACGTCTACTGCCATAGACGTCTTCTATCTCGAAGTTGGTGCTCTGGTTCTAGTTACAGAGGAATATGAATGCGCAACTAGCCTCTCTTAGCTCCTCAGAAGCTTTGCCTTACGGCATGTTCGGGTTTCATTCCCAGCGCACAGGCTACTGCAATCGTGTGTTGCAATAGTGCACCCATCATTGGATGTTTCTTACTGGCACATCTTAGTTATACGTTGGTCAGGTGTAGTTTACCTGCCCCATGCACACAACGTGTACTTCGAGAATGATCCACAAAATCCATCATTAACCCTGGTGCCAAGCGTTGTCCGTCGTGACGCAGTGGCTTAGGGGTAGCGGTCACAACTAACATCTCAATGTTCCCGAGTTCGATGCCTGCTATCTCCATCTGATAAGAGGAAATAACCTCGAACCGCGTCATAGGAGTACAGTATTGTCGAATGAGTAACACCCATTTTCTATCTGCCCCTAAGTGCTCTTCATTTAGCCCCCACTTTACTCCGCCTTTTCTATCACCACTTTTGTTTGATTCCTTCCCTGCACATGTTGAATTCCCCTCCCCCGAGCATCAATACAACTTGCTACTAAAACGCAAGGCTTTGTTTGTTGACGATTTCAATGATATTTGCAGCCTTCCCAAAGCATTGAGGCTTCTTCCCGTCTAGATTTTTTTTCGGTTTCGTGTCTCGGTGCTTTTCCCGCTATCTCCATTTGGCGCCGATTGCTAGCGGGAGTTCGTTGTCCGCATATTTCAGCATCCGCACTTCACATCAGTTCAGTCTGCATGCAACACTGACTTTCTAGGGAGAGGTGTGTGCTGCTTCGCCGAAGCACATATGCAGTTCCTTAGTGTCCTAACCAATTCTTGAATACTTGGCTCATATTCTTCTGGTGATGACTGTACACTGCGTCTCGGCTGATGCTGATTTTCTTGTTTTACTCAGCCAACTGGACGAAGGCAATCCACTCGTCTCATTCCCAGCAAACGACCGCACGTGCACGTTTCGACTTTGCACTTCCGCCAGACTAGATCTGAAAACAACATGAATTTGTTGTCTCAGTGCTTGTGCCTCTTAGCTGCAACATGGAAGCCGCCAGTGTTCATCACTTTTATATAGTACTAACTTGAATATTGTGACCATTTCAGATCACTTAGGTCGGTAGATGATGGACGACCAAACAGCATGTGGAGGTCAGTTTGGACTCGATGCACATCGTATAGATGTTGCCTCTCGGTTTGTCCTCTGATTGTGATATTTGCATCAGCGGGAATTAAATTGGCTATGTTGGAATCGATTACCGATAGCGCACTTATCGGCTGACCTGAGTCATACCCTATTGTGTTTCGTCCCAACACTTACTTTAACGCCAAATGTCAAGATTACTTTTTCGTCATTTGATCCAGTATCAACAGGCAATAATATCAAACCAGGTTAGCTCATCTGCTCTCTCTGACCATCGAGGTGGATTAGCCGAACAGCGACTTATATGATCTCTAATGCTCATTCGGAGCATGCATAGCTTAAAGCAGCCCAAGTCACAAAGTAGCCTGTAGTTGAAATTATTCACCATCGTCGTCTTAGCGATGCAAAGCTTTTGGTGTAGGTCCTTTATCCCTGAATGGTAGTGACGACTAGATGTTTTTTGACCACACCGTCCTATTCCATTTCATGTGGCCTACTATGGCTCGTTCAGCCCAAGAATCGCCGGACATTTGTCCTGTTGTCGTCAAGAAAGGACAAATGACCTTGAAGGAATGCCATGCATTAGCTCCACTGCAGTCTCCCTAAGCTTCTCACACAACTGGAAGTACGACGACTCAGTGGGCATATGTGGGGTGAGTGGAAGCCGGACCGGATTGTACGTTGGCCACAAATCTGCACTTCGTCAGATGCTTGAACAACGCAGAACTTACTGACATGTTCCTCTGGTTGATCTATCTTGCATTTAGTCTAGTTCACCTGTTGGTGGTGTTGTCTATCTGAAGCGATCCCTTCCCACTCCAAACTTTATATATCAAGACTCTGACTCTCGTATTCAGGCCTTTCGGACCATGTCTCCTGTACTTATCACGACTGTTTAAATGTATTAACTCTGCTTATTTTGCTGTTTCTTCAAATTTGTGGTCACATTGATCGTGGATGGTAGTGCCTCTCACCTTTTTCGGGGTGGAATTTCTTCTTGGTGGCCGGCTGACGAGCTTAGTGTGATCGAACAATACTACTGTATTGTAATGAGAACGCGACGCGATATACTAACACAAACCAATGCACACCTTGAAATGTGCGTTGTCAAGAAAAAAAGAGAGGAATAGGCATCAGCAGTACGCCGGTACGCAGTACCGACGCACCGCTTCTTTGCAACCACCATCGGTCGCAGGTGGACTAAGCCTACTGCGAGGGTCGCTTTGCCCCAACGCAGCCTCGAACCCTCACTCTCAGCTTACAAGACAGGCTTCTGATCCTTAAGGTTACGGGCCGGCAGATTTAGAAAGAAATATCAACTGATTACACAATGGCTTAAAGGGTACAAGTTTTCATTACTTATATTATCCACAACAAGCTGACACTGATGCTCAACACGGGTGCTAATTTCGCACATTGACACAGGTCTGTTTGTTGGAAGGTAATTTATTAATATTCACCCGCAGGGTTACAATGCCCTTGGTGGTTCCGGAAGCAACATTCTTCTACTACAACATTCCAAGGTATATATGGCGCCTCTTCGTTTACAGCAAAGCCAACAATGGAAATATCTAGTGCGGGACTAGCAAGGGCTGAGACAGTATTTTTACCAAAAGCCTCTTGGTTTTACGGGCTTCGAACAATAAGAACGAACGCCGGATTAGTTTGTGGTGGCCTAGAACAGTCACATGTGCATTGTACCTTCTGTCCACCTCGTGCCTTGCGCCACTCGACATCTGGCAAGCGGAACAAGGACCTTCTCGGTAAGCGTTGATCGTGCATGCGTAGTGGAGTTAGGTTGAAAAGAAAGAAAATAAAGGCATCAGTACTACACCGGTCCATAGTACCAACTCTATGCTGCCACGCAACCACCACCGGTCGCACGTAAGCTAAGGGTACTGGGAGAGTCGCTCTGCTCCTACGCAGACTGGAACCCGGGCCGTTAGATTACAATACAAGCTCATTCCCTATAGGCTACGGGTACACTGATGCAGTGAATTCGGTGTTACACTAGATCAGTAGCAGTACGAGGCTGGTCATTTTGAAACACTGGTGCGTGCGCGGCATCGCCAGTGTCTGGTGGAACCACGGACTGAGTGATGCCATTGGCTTTTATACCTAGATCGCCGTAGTTTGTCAGTTGACGTGTTTTTCAGTTTTCCGTCGGTTGTCCGCTCCTCTGTTTGTCATCTGGTAATGTTGCACCAGCGACATGACTACTAGGCACACCTGAACTGGCCGTGTCATTTTATTAGACTGGTAGCTATCGTCTTCTTCGACCACATCGGTGTTTGGAGGCTGTCATTGCTCTGACACGGTTGCGAAGCTAGCGATGCTCCTTCATTAGGCCTGTTACTCGTATTCCTTGACGTTTTATCTGAGGACTACGTTTTCCTGGATTATCATTATTTTCTGTTTGCACTCTCAAGCTGTTAAATCGACGTGACTAATGTTGCGGATTGTATTTTACTCGCTTGACTGGTCAAGACGCTATGGAAGATCTAAGTTTATTGGTTGTTGTCTTTCCACCTTGGAAAACCCTGATTTGCGGACCCAGTCTTCTCTAGTGATGCACCATTTGCTCATTTGGTCAGAACCAGCATTATTGCTGGAATTGTCATTATTATTGTTTTGCCTCCCCGACAGTTTGTCGGTTCCCCTTTTCCAAAGACTAACTGTAGCCTGTGTACCACAGCTACATAGGATCCTATTTTATTCCCTGACATCTATCGCGCATGAAGTGCTTAGTTTATAAGTCACGGGTACCGGATGTCCTCTGGAGCACTACAATTTTATCCCGGCAACGCTCTTTATCTTTGCTTTTGTTGAGCAGACTAGCTTCTAGCTAGTGTAATCTACCTTTGTTTTCCACATCCCTCATCTGCATTGCGCCGAATTGCCTTATGCCATAGTCCGTTGGTGTCCGTTTTCATCCTAAGGCAACTTTGACCGAAACGACCGATCTTTGGTTTGTTCAGCCGGTTGAGTTGCTCAGCTTCCAGCCTGCTTCATTTTCTTTGTTCGCTTACCGCGAACCACCGAAGGATAATTTCGTCACTTTATTTTCTACCTGGCTTCTGCATCCCATAGACGACACAGGATTGCCCCACAATCAGAGGCGAATCAACAGGCGGGAACTGAAAGCCCTCTTGAAACAAACGAAAAGAAATCGCGCTGTTCTTGACGATACACTGATTGCTGCTATCGACGCTTTGGCCTCTCGCCTACAAAGTGAGTATTTGGCCATATGAACATCGGCAACAATTGCGTTTCTTAAGCACGTTCTTCTTTTCCCATTTTTGGGTTGCGCCGCTTTCTCCCTACAGGAGTTGTTTATTTGTACTATAATTATACTGCGGTTTAGCGGCTTATACTACTATCATATATAGCCTTTCGTTGTGCTCATCTGCCAACCGTTTCCTGTTCGCTTGTTGTGCACCATTGTTTATTTTCTTGCTTTCGATTTCGTCTTTCCTGATGCCATGATTTGCAGAACCGAAACTAGTTGTATTCTGTTCACAACTTCAGTGCGACAATTTTCCCCTTACCTTCTCCCGTAGCCTCTCGTACGTGGATCTGTGACGACGCGTTACTGCCAATAACCGTCAATTCCTCACACGATTTCCTCTGTCACTCAGGCCGGCCCGTTTGGGGCGATGCTTATACAATTATTAATACATCAGTGATCGCTGGTTTATGCATGATCTGTTCTTACTTCATCTCTATATTCCGAATCCGTTCACATTGCTACTTTAAAATAGGCTCCTTCGAGGTTTCTTTAGTCGATTCTTACACCTAACCAAATTTCGAACGTCATCATTTTTCTGTCAATTTATCCTTTTTATATCAGGATAGCAAGGTACTATGTAACAACACTTATTTGATCATTTGTGCTTGATATGCGTCGTCTCGAGTCTTCCACAGCTCACCGGGTCGTCCCCGCGTCGGTATGGTTGGCCTCGCTGTATCCGGAGTCCGCAATTGACTGATCGTCGTCGCGCAGCAGCAAAACGTCGATGCGGCTAACCGGCGTACTGTTGGTGTCTGCACTTCCTGAACTGAGAGCTGGCCATTTACTTTATTTATTTTAGACCTTAACGTGATACGACGGTTTTCATACCTCTTCTACCCATTGAGTTATGCTGTGCTGCGTGCCCGAGTCTTCCTACTCCCATCAGGTTGGTGAATGGTTAGAGGTCAGACAAACTCAGTCTCCTTGTCCTCCAGGTTGGGGGTTTGAAATGGGATGGCATCCATTTCTGTAAAACTAATTCATTCCCACCTCGCCGCTGCCTTGTGGACAGGCTATAGAGCCAACGACTTTGGTTAAGCAGTCTAGTCCTCATGTCTAGATCTGGACGCTCTCGCATTATCTCAGTCCACATATAACCGTGACTATTTCTCCAAACTCTAACTACATCCTGCATCGGCCGTCGCGCAACTTCATAAGGGTCGCCTTATTTGCTGCATACAGCTGGGCAGATAAGCTGCCGACGACATTTTCTACGACGAACTGATCACGGTGCTTCACCGTGTTACTAACTCAAATAACGTGGTTATTGCAAGGGGATATGAATGCACAAACAGGTCATCTGGGCTCTTCATAAGCTGTGATATGTGGTAGGTATGGACCTAACTCCGATCGGGGTTCACAACGGCGAACGTCTGTTTCAACTATTTTCGGAGCATCGGCTGTTACTTAGTAGCGTCGCTTCTATACACAGTGGACGCTGTAATACCACTTGGCGTCCCCAAAAGATTCCATCCTGGACTGTTGCTCGTTCTGGAATATCTGTGTCGACTGATCATGTCTTGGCACACTGTCATTTTTCCATGCACCTTGTTGGGATGCACACCAGGCGTCTACCTCAATTGGCAACTGAGAAGTTATTCAAACTCTCGGTTAAGCAAACCTAAAAGCATACCCTGCATACCGAATTTTCGCCCTCCTCCTAATGACAGCTTCATTGGAACATAATACCGGTTGCCATGCACCATCAGTCGCCACCTCACCAGTCACTGGATCTCCGAGAGGTCGGTGACCCTGTTGGAATGCAGAAAAAAGCTGCCTGTTGGCTCTGAACACGATGTACTGCAACGATCTGTTAGATACGAACTAAATCAGAACCTTCGTGCTGACGAAGGAGTCTAGTGGACCAGTAAAGTTCTTGAAATGAAAGAAAAGGTAGCAATTGGCAGTTATCGCAAACTTTTCAACTGCTCCACACAACTGGCCCCATGAAGTCATGCGTCAGTGAAACAGTTAGCGTTTGCACCGTTGCCCCGATTCACAATAGGAAGCGCCGACTGGTGCTTCGGACGGAACACTTTCGGGAGCAGTTTAGGTGGCCCACTTCCTGCTCAGGTTGTACAGTCTGAGCTGTGGCCGGCTAAAATAGTGCCTCCATCGGAGTCAGGTCCGAAATGCGATCGCAGCCCCCAGTTCTTTTCGAGCTGCTGGTCTGGATTGTCTCGGACTCGTAATATATAAGAATTATGATGGGTTCCTCTACAAGGCACTGACCTCCTGTTCGAACAGGCCTGGAAGGAAGAGACCATCCCAGCTACTTGAAATGAATCGATTACAGTGGCGGTATATACGAAGGGCAGTCGCGCAAACTATGCTAACTGCTGGGGTATTGGCGTGACTCTGGTGGTTATATGATTATTAGCATCAATTAACGTTCGTCTCCTCACCGCGCAAAGGGAATCTCAGAATAGAAAAGAGCAGACAGCTTTCCACTCAGAACTGGGCTGTATAGACCACATATTCACTTTGCGGCGGTTGCTAGAGCAGCGTCACGTGTATCGCAGACCGGCATTAGCTGTGTTCTTGTACTTCAAGAGTGCGACACTCGATCGATTCACTCTGTTCCAGATGCTTGTTCGGAAAGTTGTTCCCATGAAATGTATGAACATTTTACGTGCCTTGTACTCGAACACCACATGCAGCGTCAGATTCTGCGTTGACACATCAGATAGCTTCACGACAACAATTGGCCTTCGTCAGGTTTGTCCAGTTTCTCCATCTTTGTTTAATTTCCTCGTGGACTGTATCATGGAGTGTTCCCTCGCGGTATCTAACGATGCATGCGTTGAGGTGCTGCCTGGTAAGGAGGTAGTCGATCTCGATTCTGCTGACGATATTGTGCTGCTGCTTAGCGATGTTGGGGCTGGTCAGTCCAAAAAGGATAGCATCTCTCATTAGGAATGCGCTTCGCATCTTCAAAGTGTTGTCGCATTACCGTCAGACACTTGATGACCCCTTGACCCTTGATAACAAGGAACACGAGGTAGTTGATCATTTCACTTAATAATTTGTCAGCTGCATCATCAACAATAGGTATAAAGTCGCTAAAGTCAGTTCACGTATTGCAAAAGCTGGAACTGTTTTCTTGAATCCGCGACATCTCTGGCGTCAAAAAGGGGTTTCCATCGGTCTGACAGACTGTTTACAAGCTTACTGTAAGGGCCGTGCTACTGTATAGGAGCGACGCTTGACATAGCATGCTGCCGACTTCATCTATCCCTATATACATACTCACGGCAAAGCATCAGGTTGATCCTAATTCGATGTTTCCGGTAACTTTCTGCAACGAAAACACCTGAGCATTTAACTTATACATGTCCGTAGTCCTCAATCCTCAGCTTCGTTTGTGCATTTAGAAGCAACTGATTGTCGCTCCAAAGGTTTCTTATGATGCATGACGTTTGTCCTCACCCTTCTACACTAGTAGTCGCAGTAGCATACTTCGTCTTAAGTCCAAGTAACATGCTCTCCGTAGGGACTTCCAACTTTTTGCTGACAATCTCTCGAGGAATCATCACTTTCTTGGTTTATCAAAATGAGAGGGATCTGTATACGACGTTATACCTCGAAATCGATGACTAATCTTCCTGACTTTAATTAGTAGAGGCCAAAGCCAAATAAAACGAAGCGGACATGACCTTCGAGGTTTATGCGAAGACGTGCGCATGTGCGAATTCACAACCCACTTTTCAGCGGTAAACTATTTGCATCCATTTTTACTTTCTTTCCACCTAATCCCAGTTCGTATTTTTAACTTTTCTGTTCTATTATACGCGAGACGATGACTTCTTAATCCTTGCCTCTATCTCCTGCCGTTCACAACGGTGTCCTAATCTAGTGCCCTGTTTGTTTTTTGCAGGTCATTGTCTAATTGGGTTGGGTTCCTCCACGCTCTCGAACTCCGTCCGAGTCGCACACCCACCTTATGTCTTAGAATCATCACCGCCCACTCGGAAAGCTGTCGGTGGAAGAAGATGCGGGCGCAGAGGTTCTAAACGTGGAAGAGCCACTGGGCGAATTCTTTCTCGGAGCAAAATCAACAATTCGCCTGCCATTCTAGCTTCCTGGGTTCCTCTGATTCTCCCCCACACCACCCAGTCACCTGGGTCCGAACTTCGACCGAAACTCGCATTTACCCCTTGGCTGAATGAACTTTCTGAGTACCGTGTTCAGCGTTTTACGGTTAGCTAGCCTATTTACTTGATTTTTTCCCTAATGCTCTTGACAACTTAATTTGAAGGCCGCTCTCCAGCTCTTTTCTTCTCGATTGGACACCATTTACAGTGATTGCTCACTGAGGCATTCTGCCTCTATACTGAAGTGCACTTAATGTTTTAAACTTTTTCTCAGATTTCCGTCTGAAATCTAAAAGCCACTTTGATTTTGTTCACTTGTTCATCGTCACCTTTTGTTCTTCACATCGTACCGCAGCGTTTGTTACCATCTACGGCAACATATTTCTAAGTTTTGCGTGTTTTCACTTACAGTTTTGGCTCTATTGTTTATTTTCACTATCCAATTGAATTAAGGACGCGCTTTTTCTCATGTTCTCCCTTCCAGAGTGGCATGCAAAAACTTCTTCCTATGTTTTGTTCCGGAGCGCGCGACTCGTCAAATGGTTCCCATGAATTGAGCAAGCCGATAGTTAGTGCGTCATCAGGCACTTCCCAGTCCCTTCCTGTCTCCTCAATTTTAGCGACTGGATCACAAAAAATCGAACCGGTGGACGCCAATGCTTACACTAGCAAATATCAGGTGGTATCAGCCGAGGCAAGACTTCAATCCTCTGTTGAGTCCAACGCTGTGAACAATGGGCTACCTTTATCCAACCAGATTGATTTGTGTGAATTGACCAAATCTCCTCTGGCCGCTCCTAAAGTGGACCGCTTTTCTAGAGGCCGTTCTAGAAGGAGGAGACCCTATAAATCGAGAGGTCCTTTCGTGTGCATTTCTACACGCAATAATTCCGAGCGTAATTCCCAAGGGATTACGGAAACATTGGCTATCTCTGCTGCCAGTGGCACTTCGGCGGAACTCATCTATCCCCCATCTGCCGTTGCCTCGCGACCAGTAAAACCATGTGAGGCATCTTGAGTCATTTGTTTTATTTTTTGTGCGATTCTGTCCAACAGGCATTCCACTAGCTTTTGTGTTTCCGGTTCGCCTGCACAGCCGGGCTTGACTCTGTTTCACTATCCAACCATTTGCTTGTCTTCTGACTTTCGTTTCTCTTTCTTTTTTGTGGCCTATTTTCTAGCTAAACCCCGTGTTTCTCGTGAGTTGCGGGGATTAGTTACTTGGGACGCTGTCATCGCTCAGCAGAAGCGCCAGCAAGCGCAGGAAGCACCAGATGATCCTGTGAGCGTTGTATCGAAGCAGCGTTGGCAAGGCGACCCTACTCTTGCCATTGCGGAGGGATTGCTGGCTCAGGCTGCGATGGATAGCGGTGAGCCGCTGGTAACAAGGACTCGCCGGGTTCGCCACTCCAGTGAAGCTGCCGTTGGTCAGTTGCGCCAATCGACTGGCGAATCAGAAACTGCATCTGTTGTGACCACGGCCACAGGTAACCAACCTGATTCGAAAGTCCCACTTTCCACATCATGTTTCACCGTTCCTGACCGCATACAAACACAGTAATTGGGGACACTGGTGCATTTCTCCTAATGGAGGCGGTACCGGTCTACAATTTACTGAATAACGTTTATAATTTGGTCATTTGTAAATCACTTCAAATCATTAGTCACTATCTTACTTTTTATTTGATAGCGATTCTATTTGTGTGTGATGCGCGCGTATACCAAACTGGTGTTTCAAATATTCGCGATCTATTCCTGATTCCATGGACACTAACCTATTGCTCTATACACTGTACGTCTTCTATGTAGTCAATTCCCATTTAACCGCTTCTACTTTCTGTGGTTTATAACCCCCACTTCATACCCTCCGATCTGTTAGCTGAGCCCAGTTTGACATTCTGACTACCCTTCTACCAAATTTGCCACTGATTGACAAATGTCTTTTGTCCACTTCTCAGCTTACGCTCCACTCTTACTGATAACCATCCTTACTTTCCACAAACTTATTCATCCAGCTTCTGAATCCACGGAGACCTTATCGCGTTCACGACACGGTGAACATTCATCCATCACCATGAAGTCAGCCGTGAGCACAGCGTCATCTAGCATAACCTCGGACTTGCCTGCTACAAATCAACTTATGACGTACGGCACAGTCGAGGAGAACGCCACAGGATCTGCACAGCGACACCCAACAGAAACTGAGAGTCCGGACAGTTTACATTTCCACAAAGATCTGAAAGTGAGTCTCAGTTGTTCTCACATCTTTGCTGACTTCGAGGGACCATTTTACTTGGAAACCAAAAATGTGTACGCTGTCTCATCACAACTTCTGAACCATCACACTGTCTCGGATCCTCACCAATGTTCCATGCATCCACATTGGTGTACATTTCATTATTGTCCGATCACATGTGGCCTGGCGCAATGATTGGAACGTATTCAGCATATGGCTACCAGACTCATCTCCAATTTACGAAACTCTTACGAAGACCAATGCAAACGTATGCCTGTACACCCTGTCATATCGTCGGTTTCGAGTGAACCTCATAATGACGCACCGGATATTGCATTTGACTCACTTCCCCATACTGAAGCCACTGCTGCAATTGCGCGCATCAAACAGTATTCGCGGCCATCGGATACAAGCTTGTTATACCGGGCCTAAAGCGGATTGCTCGTCTTCTTAGCTTCGATCGGCGAATAGTGAAATATTGGAACGATTTGCCAGAGAAAATGGTCGAGGCTAAATTGGTGTCGAGATTTAAGCAATTTTCAGACACAAATTTTTCGGATTTCAGATACAAGGAGCGCATCACACCCGAATAGCCTATCGTGCAGCTGTAATTTGCTGCAAACGCGCAGGAATCAGTGACGTGCTTGTGTGCACACGCCCGACCTAACTACGATGGAGCAGCGCAGATATATATCTACTAGCTTTCTGGCTACCTTATTTCGTTATACTTGTGGCATTTCTTCGCCGCATTGCCCCAAGGGCGATGGGCTGCTATGTAGTTCAAGCGTCTCGTTTGTAATCCAACGGTCGCCGGTTCTAGTCTGCGCACGTGTGAAGGGCTTCGCATGCGACTAGTGACGGTCTCCTGTTAGCGAGGCGTCGGCACGTAGTGCCGGCCTACTACAAGTACATTGTTGCTCCACCGGCCCCCCATGTTACAGTGTAGATCCGCCACCACAAACTCATAGTATATGTCAACATAAATGTGTTAGACATCTAACGTCGTAACTCCGTCAGCATTATTGCCCACGTCAACCTGTCTCGCATTTCCTGCACTGCTCGTTTTTCTCCTCGTAGGTTATTCAGGCGTAAGCGATGGGGTTGTCTGCATCCTCAGAACTCATGCCATTTCTTTAAATATGCTCCACAGGAAAACGGTTCTCCAGCTCCACTTTACTTGTGTCAATCAGGTCTGGCGCAGCTGACTTATTTTCCTTCAATCACATGTTATCATCTATTATCTTAAAGCCTACGCATCTGGTTACTTCATTTTCAGTCTCCCCACAGCCCAAGTTGTCAAATACTCAATTCTTCAAACGAGTCGCATTCTCAATACGTTCCCAAATATTCTCCGATTTCCTTGGATCCTGAGTTAGAGTCTCACTTATCGGTGGATGAAATGCAGCAAACCCATCATGAAACGACTCTCCTCACAGAAGAACCCGCACTGCCAAACAAATCAGTGGCCTTGAAGCGGAAACGCAGAGGTTTTCACAGACGTGTACATCCGGAAAACCAGCCCAGCTCTATTGCATCTGATTCTTCTGTCTGTACTTCTCCCTCACGGAACTCAACCAAAGCAGCTACTCTTTCTTTGACTAATACTGGTGTTCCGGGGAAGCGCCGTCGCTCGCGCCATTACGTGTCTACTTCTCTGCGCCTTCACGATTCCCAAGTTTGTGACGCCTCTTACGAACCACCTGTTGAGGATCTTGGAGCTTCTGTCCCCTACACCGCGCCCTCAGAGTCGGCCGTCAATGAATGCATCGGCATGCGTCAGTCAACAGACTCTCGGAGCCCGGTTCTGCCCCCGCGCAAACGGTACAAGGCAGGCTCAGAATCACACAGTCCTCCGGTTGCGGAGCTGCTGAACAATTCCTCTCAGCATCTGGACGAACCACCTGAACCGGTACCTACATCGCCAATCGCCACTCGGGGCGTAATGACACCCCCTACTCATTCCCCTCCAGTTGATTCGCGAGTTATGACCACCGCCGTTTGCGATGAAACAATTCCGTCCCCCTCCTCTCCTCAACCGGTTCAAAAACGCAGTAGAGGTAATAAGAGTCATCGGTGTTCGTGGTTGTGCTTATTTTTCTTTACAGTCTCTTGTGTATGTGTAGCATCCCATCTTTTCATAATCGATTACTGTCTTATGAGTCTAGTCCAAATTGGTCTCTGAATTCGCCTTAGTTTTACCTGTAATGTCCTCTTCAGTGTTTCGCATTACTCCACTTCCTTTATCAAACACCTATGATTCTCACTCGATTCGTAGCCATAATAGCAAAACCGCACGAAACCCACTTGCCTTCCTACTTTCGACCACGTTAACATTTAACTATTTTTCCGCTTGGATCAGATTAGTTGCTTTCCTTTTCATTCTGGACTCGCTTTGTGCTAGGTTACTTAGCCGAACGTTTGAATTGGCTTATTTCCACGGCCTCGTTGCGAATCCATCGTTTTAGAAGTTCTCCAGATTATTTGACTCTTTTCAACTTTTCCTGGATCACCCTTCTCTTTATTCCACTGCCGTTTTGCAGGGAGACCTACTCGTCGAGGTTTAGCCTCCAGTTTTCCGCAGCCGACGGTGCCCATACCTGAGACTCCAACAGGCGTCGATTCTCCGAATAATCCTATGGACCGTCCTAAGCGTGAGGTAATTTTCTAATTGTGTTTTCTTTGCCAATCTTATTCGCGTCCTTATCAGCAGCGGCAGTGGTATACTCTGTATCCTTGCATTGTCATTGTGCATCCATAAATCAGGGAAGATAACCATATTGTGATGGACGATAAGGTAGACTGTGCTGATCTTAAACGACTTCAAGAAACTTAAATTTAAACCTCATGCGTTTCAGGAACATTGTGCGGCCGCGATACAATTGTCCGTCATACGAGGATGGTGCGGCATTGATGAGACCGATTTTTTGCGGTATAATAATTAGTGTCACACCCCACAGATTACTCGGCTACTTTCAATCCTCCTGCAGGCATTGATCCGACAATGGACCTCCATATGCACTGCTGATCCGCGGACTGCGTTTTATAAATCATCGGCTGTTCCGTGGTAGATGGCCAGTAGATACGCATTGACCGTGCCCAAACCGAGGTAAACTCATACAATTGTTATGCGGTGAAAATGTACAAATGAAATGAACAACAGATGTATCGCCTCTAATTGCAGACTGACCGATTATCTCCACTTTAATTCGGCTTATCACCACAGTCTCGGTGAAATAGAGGAGTCGGAAGTTCGTGTGACGCAAGAGAGTTTTGTTTACCTGAATCCGATGACCTGAGGCCCATAAGTGCCTGTCAATCGAACAGTCCGATGACCTGCATGAACACGTAGCTTCAGATGGACATACTCGCTGTGTAGTTTCGCGTTGATCCAACTTTGACGCGTGCCTCTAATCTGCACTGCTTAGCGGCCACATCGCAATGTCGTGGAGTAGAATGGTACTCTTGTGTTCCTTGATGCATGACTATTGTTTGGGGCAATCCGTCTCCGGCACCAACAGTGTCGCATAGTGAGGGTCTGTTCTCGCATTCACGAGAAATGGGCTGATTTCCCCGGTCACTCGCGCTTTGCTGATAATACAACTGCAGAATCGATACATTTACCAAAGATCGCTGGTTCTGTGTTGTCAAGTCACGGGGCAACAACACTTTCTAGATGCAGTTCGGACATCAATTAATGGAACTACTCTGAATTGTTTGGGTTTGTGTGCACGACCTACCAATTGCAAGTTGGCTAAACAGTGTTATCTCTCAGATAGGACCTTCGAACATACATTGTAGGTATCGTTAATGGAGAACTCCATAATAAGATCTAGAAGACTGTGATAAGCGCGACAACAAAGCTATCCGGGATATTCACCATCTGCTCGGTGTAAGATCGCGGATTGATTTCGCGTTGCTCCGACGAGCGCCTTTTTCACCGATATGCTGCGAGTAACAATAGTTGTAATATTCCTCCAGCTCTGGTTGAGCTCTTCTGTGACATGATTCGACGCTTTGACTTTCACTCGCATTTTTGATAGCTGTAATTTCCGAATGGCACAATGAGGGCAATGCCTGCCATTGTTTTAGCCGAGTGACGCCCAGTACAGCAACCGGAAACATTTTTCACAAGTCATCATTTAATGAGAAGGCAGATTTCTCGAACGAGAATGACGTTGATTAACTATTTCACACACGTTCCGTCGAAGCTTTCCTTCTGGAAACAGCATGTACTCCTGTATTTTTTTAATCAAGGCTGTCAACGACCAACTCTTGAATGAGGATCACTGAAGGGAGCCGGAATTATTTGCTCATATGCGCGTCACGGAAGAGCAGCACAGAGCTTGGAGATACGCTTATTTACACACATACGCACTTGAGTGCTGCTCAAATATATTAAACTTGTAGTGCACTGAGTGCATACGTTGCTGTTCATTACGTAGTAGGTCGGAGGGCGGTGGGGGGAGAACACGCTTTTGGGTCATATTTCATACGTAGTTGCAGGCTATCGAAATATCGCTGACCCTCGGAACCGGATAGCGGCACGATGACTTCATCTTCCCAGTATCCTCAGTGTTGTTGTTGCGGACAGCTTGGGACGGTAGTTTTAGTGTGATTGGAACAAGTTGTTTTCAAATAGATCCATTGCTGTACCATAGACTTACCTGTGGGACAAGTTCAACATGCTATTGCAGGAGTCGAAGTAGCCCTGAGGAATGATGCATACTACTGGCAGAAGGGCGGTGTTTTTTCTTCAGCGAAAACTTTGAGAAAATCAAATTACAAACCGTGAAGTGCTCGAACTCCTTAGTCGGGGCCACACGGCGGTTCAATCGTGAATGAGAGACAGACAATCGTTTAGCTTGTTTGAGGTTAACGGTAATACAGGATGGGTCCAGCCACCGGAAATTTGTATCGTCTATCTGCCCTCCATCTTTTGTCAAACACTAACTTTATTAACATGGTAAACCACATTTTACCTTAATTCTTTACCTTTAGATCAACATTATGCTGGAAATGCTTCTTGTTTTTCTAGTCCATCTGTTTGGGCTTTCATGTATCGTTTCATTTGTTAACTTTGAATCTGCGTCCATTTGGCTTCAGGCAGCTGCTATCGGCTTTGCCAGCCTCGTTGCGGCAAATTTGAACAACAACACGCAGATTCATGGTCAACTCACTTCATTGGATTCTCCTAATACTCGAGGTTCGGGTTCTGAAGCTACGGCCAGCACAACCGAGTCAGCTGCGGGTGTGACAACGCCAACCGTCTCTTCTCCTGTTCCCCGTGGTCGTGGCCGACCCCCGAAGGTCAAAACAGTTGCACAGCCGCCAGCTGTCCCATCCAGCACATGTGCAACGGGTACGCCTTACTACCCGTCTTTTCATTCGTCTTAGATTAAGTCCCATAATCGTGTTCACACTTTATTCGTCAGGTAACTCTTCGCTGTTTCAACGCACTCACTAGAATGAAGCTTCTTTGATAAGCGGGTTACTCCCATAATCCGGACAACCCATCAGCTCGGTTCTAGTAAACAAGTATGATCCGTGTTCACCTGACTGCGGTAAGTAAACGCGATCAAAACAATACTAATGTTACTGATGATTGATCAGGTGGGTTAGGCAAGAATGGAGTCATAAGCCGGTGTATGTAAGAGTGAAAAATAAGGAAACGAACGCAACGGTGCCACTGACTTCATGGATACTACACAATCTCCGATAGGGCATATAATCACGGTTGTGAGATATCTCGATGACATTCTATGAATAGGACAAACACACCCTGCTTATCCTTTCGATGACTTTCTTCATTTAGTTTGCCATGTCAGTGACCATTCTACTTAGAGCTTCATTCAACCAGTTGCGATCTTACCAAACGATCCATAGATACGCAGTCGGATGAGACATCCGGACCACATGACCAACCCAACGTAGGTTGTCCAAATTCATCGGACACACCAGTGAGGTGCCTTAGGGTCTGCTTTCAAACACCAAATGGTGAACTTTCGTATTGCTTCTTTGATCTTTCAAACATGAACACTATTTCGAAGGCGTCTGTGTCTCTACGCAGTAGAGAAGGCATCAACGCTACACCGCCACACAGTACCGGTTCTTCGCTGCCGCGCGAGCACCACCAGTCTCACGAAGGCCGGGCATATCACGAAGTCGCCCGCACCTACGCGGATTCGGAATGACGGTCTCAGAATTACGACGCAAACGCGCAATCATTTAGGCTACCGACCGAATCCCTACACAGCTGGTCGTTTACTATCATCAATGAGCAATGATCAGGTCTCTTAACCTCAAAACGGCACTGGCCGCACCGCAACGTTGCAAACCCTTTATCTAACGAATGAACTCATGTTGCGCCATCTGCGAGAGTGATAAAGGCTTTGTAAAGCCACACAGGTCTTGGCGTTTGAGATGTTACTAATGCTGCGTCCATTTTCACCTAAAGTCGTATGGTTATTATTAGGATGGGACTGACACGCGTTAGTCAAAGGGCACAGTCTCCTTAATCTAGCTAGAATCGTGCGGCATAGCCAAGGCAATCATTAATCAGCAACCACTATACTTCAGTAAGAACGGTGAATGGTCATTGGGGTCAGCAGCACCAACTGGTGCAGCCCCTCATCCATGTTGAGATTTCAGGTCAAGTTGAGATAAACTTTATGTGCCCAAACTGGTGCATTTTCAACATATTCCACTATCCACTGCGAATGTACTAAATTTGCACCAAAAAATGCAAACTTTTACGAATGGGTAGACAAAAATGAACAGTGGGTACTATCATCACTAGGGTAAACGGCCCGATCATACAGAGCAGCTCTCGCGCAATATCAAACAGAATCCTCGGAGTTCGATGCCAGTCAACAGGTAAGGTTTTATTTAAAGATTTTTCTGCACAACTAGTTTCATCTGACGTAAAAGTTCGTGTCCAAAGGCAATAGATCGAGAGTAGTGCGCATTATCTCAGCATTTGTATTCACAATGTGGATAGAGTAGGATGGTCTCAATGATTTTGGAAGTTACTTATGAATGGCGCAGTTACATAAGCTGCGGGCTAGTTGGCAAGAGCCACTAGTAGTCATCGGTGCAATCCTCCGCAGAGGACCGAAGGATGCGCACCACTGATGAGCCCCAATAGGGCGAAACGGCCGTCTGGTGCTTTTCCGGACAGCTGATCGACATATCTGAATTGTCGGCTGATTGCGACGAAGAAAAGACTTTGGAAGTTGTTTGAACAAAGAATTTGTCAGACTATCCTTGCAAAACTGGTATATGTACAGTACATAAAGTAAAAATGGTGTTCGATGAGAAAGGCAACGGCCGACCCCGGCTTTGATTTTTAACATCCATGCTCCAGGTGACTTCATGTTACCCAACTCTACAGTCTAATTCACAAGACAGTTTTTATATATTGTTTATATCATCCTGTGAGTCCAGTACAGGATCTCACTGTGAGCTGTTTGAATGCGATCACATCCCCCACCTTGGAATGTTCCGAATTTCTCACTTTTATTCCTGTTTTGGCAAATCGCACACTTATCACCACGTTCAACCGTAGGGGCGTTTTGGCGAGTTTGTATCTTGTTAACCACAGGTTTCCCAGTACGGATGCGGTGAACAAAAGTGGTGCTCTTCCACTGTCAAGAATAATCGCTGACGCTTATGCCCTATGTCAAAGTGATCTGATAACTGATAGCTTCTGTTCCACCAACGTTGTGAGGAAAGAGGGCTATCGATCTGCCATCAATTTCCAGAAAGAATGCTTAGCTCGATTTACTATCGCTCCTTACCGAGGACACTTCGAGATTGCCACCTAGCGTAGGTCAGTAGTTCTCGTAAGCATGCAGACAGTTAAACCACGTTGATTCCTGTCTTGTTATCATGGTCGCTCTCATTTCTACATTGGTTCATGCCATTATTTCCCCTCTCTATCTCTTGCATCTCTTATACTTCTGATTTTATATTTTGGAAGTATCCCGTGCGTCTATTATTGACCCGACTGTAGGACATAACGGTTGGAGCTGCTTCTTTAGATGTTCTTTACTAACCTTCCTCGTCCTTCCTGCTAAGAATGACCCTTTCTAAACAATCACGTTTCCATTGATTCACATGATTGATTTATTACCGGACGGTTCGAACCTTCACCACTCTTTAGTTACTCGTCATCTGTACGCCTTAACGGCGTTTCACTGCCGCGCGGCCACCACCAATCGCGCGTCGACTGAGTATACCGGGAGGACGCCTGCCCCTTCGCGGACTCGAACCGGTGACCATATGATTGCAAGTCAGGCGTGCAGACCAGACTGACGACGCCGTCCCGTAGCCTAAATGAGACATGCCTGTCAGGTAATCTGGCGGCGCTGGTTCGAGCCTGTATAGGGGCAGCACGACCTTCGCAATATCCTTAGCTCGCATGCGACCCATGATGATTGCGCGGCAGCGAAGCCCCGGTACTGCGTACCGGTATAGTGCTGATGCATATCCTTTTTTCCCCATTAGTTTCTCAATCTGAATTACCTCATATCCAGCCCACACATACCGTGTTTCTCATAGTTCCTCAAAGCTTAGTAGGCATATACAATCCTTTTTTGCTCATCCCGTGGCCCTGTTGAGTGATTTTACTCATTTTGGCACTCCATTTCAGATTCAGTGTCCGGATCTGCGCTGCCTGTTCGGTATGTTCCGTTGTATTTAATCGACTATCCTTCCGCACGCTTCTAGGATGTGTTGTCTATTCGTTCTAGTGTCGTCTTTTCCTTTGATTCTTCCACACGGCATACCGCTATAGTTTCTCTTAATCTGAAGGCCAGGTTCAGTCCCGTCGCTCGTGCCTGTTTGGGGTTTTCTGTTTCTTTCGGTTACCTTTCCGGAAACCCTTTTGTTAAATCTTTGTGCCTCCATTCCCGGGGGCATGCGAGGGTCTACAGAAAACCGTCATACCGTATTTATCTCGAGTATGAGATGTGCGAGAAAGTCCCTTTTCTCCCCCTCTTTTTAATTTTATGATCCATATAACCATATCCAGCTCCATTCTATCTATCAGTTCCTTAACGGGTTTAACTCGCCAACTAACAGATAACTCAAAGCGTTCGGAAGATGCACTGCTCTTGAGGTTGGATCACCTTCCGATACACTAGCGTGTAGGGCTGTGCGTTTCGACACCTGCTTCGCGACTTGTAATTGTGAAGCATTTCTCAGGGACTGGACCGACATTGTCCGTTCTCATTATCCTCCACCAACTATTGGGGATAGTCTATCATTTATCTCGGTACTTGCATTGGCTCTGGGGGTGCAGTTAATCGAATAGACTGCTGCGCGGCTCAAGATAACTCATGTAAGGTCAAACAATTATCCATCGATACTTTGAATTGTAGCCCATTGGTCAAAATCTGATGCACAGTGCTGCTGTGCAGCCAATGTAGGGGTGCAAGCCACGAAACCAGGCCACTACGCGTTGCTCAAGATAGAGAACCAGCGGTCTACACAGAACAGTGTTTATGGCTATTATTTCTATTTGGCGAGTTTTTTCCTAGGTCACGCTCTGGTATTGCGCCCCACTTTTCTTCGAACTTAAGTCGGCTACATTGATTCGCTCACTTCGGATATCTGTTGGGCAGGTATTATTTCTTTCTTATGGACTTGGTCAGATGGGACCCTAATCTGGATAGCAATCTACATGGCCTAAACGATTTGAGAAATCTGCTTTTTTATGCAGTTTTGCCTGAAGCGCTTATGGTTACACGGCATTACCCATTGGCTGAGTTCACGGTGCTCTGGCATCTTGCTCTCAACCTATTCATCTAATGAATCTATTTGCATTTTTACTCTCATGTTCTCCTTTACCCTGCGCATATTCATTTATCCTCCTCACTTATAGCTCATGTTGATTATATCCGCTTTACCTTGATTATTGAGTCAATTTGAATAACCAGCTGCTCACGCTGTCATCATTTTAGTTATCGGTTCGCTGACCACATGATCACATTCTAACTTAGCCGTTGATATTTTGTTCTCACGTTTTATGCTTTCCTTGAGTATCCACAGCTTCATGTGCTTTCTGTCTGCTTATCCTCCTCACGATTTGTTTACCTATTTTGTCACCACGTTTTCCACTGCGTTATGCGGTATCCTCCTTACTTACAGTTTTCGTTGAGTCGTGACCCACGGTGTCTGGTTGTTTTGTTAATCCAGTTCCAGTTTTGTACCCACACGTCCATTTCTTTGCTCTCATTGTCCAGCCGCCAGTTACGAACTTCATCCTCTCCCAGTAAAAGCAGCGTTCAACCTCCATGCAGCGCTTCAACTGAAGCATCTTCACTGGATGGTCATACACCACCCGCTACCGTGTTACCGGTTGAGGCTCCTGCCTCTCTCGCTGTAAGTGCTATCCTTGCATTCGTTTCCTCTGGTCCTCACAATCAATGTGTGCCTTCTGAATGCCCTGTCTTCCAAAGTGTCCTCCGACATCTCCGCATTGTGGGTTCATACGGCATCAGTTCACCTACATATTTAAATATTAGCTTTTATTTCACCGACTACGTGTTTCAAGCAGTGGCTGGCGTGTCACGGTTCTATATTTCGCTTAGTTAATTGTCGGTACTGTTAGGTGTTAGGTAACACTTAGTGATGATATGAGTAAAGCCTTCTGCAAATCTTCGTGACACCCTTGTACCCACTGAATGCTACTTCATATCCTACCTCTCCACACATTGGTTCACAGAAACCATAACAATATACTAAAATTCTACCGGCCGGTTTGAGTGCATTCGATTCCAAATCATGTCAATCATCATCTTCTACTTTGCATTTTATCTCTTATTAACATAGATGTTGAGTTCGTCGTAGGTACTCTGCACAGCAAAATCTTGTGCTAATAACTCTTTTGTTCATTCAGACTACAACCAGTGATGAGCGCGTACATATCGAGCCCGTGTCGACAAATCAGTCCGCCCGTAAGGTTGGTCGGCCTCGGTTGCGTCAAACGGTGGAGAAACCCAAGGAAGATTCTACCAAAGAATCGATCGATCATTTGTCCTTGTGTGAACCTGTGACTACGGCCGCCGCCTTTAAACTTTTACCAACTCACAACAGTCTGTTCAAAGGACACTTGTTGAAGGAGTACGTTTCCATACTATACCATTCCACTAAGATTCTCATGTGCGTTATTTTGTTTGATTGGCAATTTCCTGGTGCATCTTTCGGGTATGTTAGCTTAGTGCAAATGTATCCGTGTTTCCGCATCTCCCTTACAAAAGATCGATTGGTTATACGGTGTAACTTTACCTGAACGACAGAGTATACAGTGCAGCCGTACGTTCGACCCTACTGTACGGTTGTAAAACCTGGCCTATTAGATTAGCCTACATAAAGAGGCTAGTTATGTTCGACCACCGGTGCCATCGCAGTTTGGTTCATATCTGCTGGGAACACCGTGTGAGCATTGAACGTCTTCCCTTGTTTATGGCGCAAGAAGAAGAAGCAAACCACTCAACACCGTTATTTCTCGCACCAGACTCCGATGCTTTGGCTGTGTTGCGCATGCCAGCCTACCGACTCCCGTGACGTGCGTTGTGTGCGCGCCGGGGTGCGGATAGAAGAAGAGGAGGAGTGGCCAAGCGATAACTTGATCGAGAGGAATGAAGACTCTTACTTCGAAGTTGGCATCGGTTGGAGTCTCTCGGCTCCCTGGTTGTGGACCGAAGCACGATGAACACGTTTGGCTGTATACACTTGTTGACATGGCTAGGAGCTGATTTCATTGGCGTTTGTGTTGTGATTTTCTCTGTTTTCCCCATCTAACTACGATATTATCTACAAGGCATAGTATAACTCCTTTCCCTCAGCACAACAGCCGGCTGTTAGCTCTCCGAAACAATGTCCATCCGTTACTTGTGACTCAGCCGGCGTGCCTATGTCTCATCTTTTTTTTCTTTTGTATTGTAGCACAACGGCTGAGGTGTTTTCCACCTACAGCTAACGTGTATAATGACATGTATCTGTCCTGGATCTTAGCAGGTAGAAGGGCGAAACCCAACTCCTACGCAGCGGTCGCCATGAGGAGGCGCCCAGGACATGAACAAATGGCACAACAGTAGCAGCAGTGGGTAAACCATCTGTCAGGATCTAGCCACCACCAGCCTCAGTGCACCATAGGCTCCTCCGATATATATATACATATATATATATATATATATACATATATATGTATATAATCACTTGACCGAAAAACAATTGGCACGGTACCCCAACATGTGGGCAGTAGCTAGAAAACAATAGGGAGAATATTTACAGCCAGGGACAGTTTGAGAACACGTTCGCCATTGGGTACGATTCTGGGCCACATCCGAAAGTTTTCCAACCAGTTGTGCTCGCTGTTCTTGGCCCTTCAACTCGGGAGTCAACGCCTTGACACCCCTGTTCCAGTTTGTGTATAGTCCACCTTTTTCATCACTTCCAGTCAACGCCGGCGCGTTGTAACAATGTGCGGCAGCGTAACCATTGGACAGGCATGCGAAGGAGGTGCCCGAGTCGTTAGAGCGCACGCACGGAAATTATGCAGCTCAGTTGTCCGCTGAGTCTGACTTGAAGACCAAACGTCGAATGTCGTCATCGCTAATGCAATGCTGCCAATGTACACCACCGATGCTCCGGAGGCAGCGGTGCTCAAAAACTGGCAGATTTTGAACATCACTTGCTGGAACGGACCAAGTCTCGCAGTCATACGTGAGCATCGTTCGTACCGTAATGAAAGGTTAAGCTTGCGCCGGCACCAGAGATGTCGGAGTTTGTTAAAGGCTCCCCTGGCTTTGTCTCATCTATCAATCCGCTCACACTAGTGCAACTCCCGGGGTAGCCCAACTTGTCGGCTACTTCCAAAAATAGCCAGTTGGTGAGTGTATGAGCAGTTTCTAACCATTACTGTAGGGAAAACTGCTTTTTGGAAGGCGCAATGGTAATTCTGAACTGTGATACACACTTCTCCAAGCTGGGTAGCCCACGAGAAGTCACAAATTGCGGCGACATTGTCAACATACCCCAAGTCATGGAGTCGATCACCAGGGACTAACTCGGCGCCACTAAGCCCACAGTTTTCCAGAGCACTCTAATACGTCATCCCCAGCGAAGTTGAGCAATGAGAGTGATGCGTGACAACCGTGTCTAACGCCATTGCTGATACCAAAGAAGAGGGCGGAAGTCCGTCGCACATCCGCATCCGGTCCGAACTTCGAGAGTAGATGGCTTGAAGAATGGTAACATACTTCTCGGGCACTCCCCTCCTAACCAGATAACTCCACGGAGCAGGTCTGTCAACAGTCAAATGCTGGGCGTATCTCCAGGAAGCAAGCAATGGTAGGCCGGTTGAAAACTAGATGGTGCTCGAGCATCTGGTGGATCATGAAGATGTGATCAATACAGTTCCGCCCTAAGCGAATTACAGCCTATTCTTCACTTATGCTGTTCGCGTATTCGACTGAGCTTCTGTAAAAGCAGGGTAGCGAGCACTTGGGACGCAACGTATAGTGGACTCATTCATCGGTAGTTTGCGCATTCCATTCCGTCGCCCCTTTTGAAGATGGGCACCATGTCCGCTAGGCCGCAGTCGGATGGGATGATGATGTGGGTGGTTAACTTAAAAAGGGGAGACGGGCGTCCATTCTTGAAAAAAGCCGAGGGCAGTTCGTCGATGCAAGGGGATTTGTGACGCTTCGAAGAACGAAGCTCATAGGTAACCTCGGCCTTAGATGACAGTGGGGTGCTTGCACACCAGGAAGCGCCATGATGGCCAGTTGAAATTCTTTTCTAGATCCTCTGCTCAATGTAAAAACCGGTCTTGCATTTGGGAATTTATTCACCGCTGGTTTCAGATTCCACTTCTCTCACGCCTGGTTTATTGTCACCGGCAGATCGGATAAGAGAGAACAGTACGCTTAAGTCCCTGAGGATGCAGCTTGTTCCATCGCGATGGCAAGCTGCGTCCATCAAGCTTCACGATCTTCACTGAAGAGCTATTTGAGCTCGTCGTTGGTAGCTCTGCGCAATGTGTTATTCTTAACAACAGCGGGAATTATCCGGTGGTCTTCGATCATTTGAACAGGTCGAGCAGAAATCCATCGGCTGATGGTTTACTCAATGAAACCGCAGATGACGCTGGCAGACTTGTGCACGAAAGTCCGGATGTGTGTCCAATTCGCCACAACATTTGGGAGTGGGGGCCTCTTCGGATTTGATGCTAACGAATTCGGAAAGGCATTGATAATATTTTGAGCGACACGTTTGCCTATTTTAGGCTGTTTGGTGCCGGCAAAGTCGCGGACAACTTTAGCACACAGATATGCGTGATCGGTAATGAGATATGTATTCTAAATTGGTTTGCAGTCCGTTATACAGCCTCGTCAGCGGTAACTAATGTCGATCTGGTCCGTCTGCGTTCATGCGCATGGTTTCGTCCTGTGGCTAACTGGTGCCGGGAGCACTGAAAGTTTATACTCGCGAGAATTAAACTGTGCTCAGCAAAGATCTGTAAAAGGGGTCTCCGTTATCCCTCTTGCGAGTATCATGGCAATGCAGACCACCGAGATTGTGTTCATATGCTTCGAGTCTACCCATCTGTATCTTTTAGTCCCCTATAATTACGATATCCGTGAGGCGTTTCTTATGGAGAGGGTCGGAGAGTTGACGGTAGAACTCAGCTGAGCCCAGACTGCAATCCGTGGGGGATTACTCCGCTACGACAAACAAACAGCGTTTAGTAGGCAAGCAGCTGGATAGCCCTACGGAGCTTCCTAGCCGAATTCCACTGACTCAGCTATTAACTGGGATACAATCAAGTAACACTGCTTCAGTGCGCTCACTTAACAAAGTTCCCACACCGGCCAAGCCCGTCGCTTCAGCAGTTACGTCTCCAAATAAGTGTAATGTGAATGTACCGTGGGAGAACACAGAAGGTGCTGTCAGTCATAGGGTTGTGCTACAATCTTGTAAAGGAGCCTCAACGAGGGAATATATATCGATGAAGAGGGTTTCTAACGTGCGAGTAAAAGCTATCTGCGGCCAACTTGAGTTGGGAACGAGAGTTTGATAGCTCCTCTCTTCACGGTTGTGTGGCACATGGACGGCACTGTTAGAACTGTCCTTCAAGGCGGCACGTCGTCAGGGAACCGGTGTCATCGAGTATTACCAATAATCAGTGAATTCAACAAACGTGGAACAAAACATGTTGCTGGTGATGCGGTAGAGCATGGTATAGCGGAGCCTGCTGCCATAACCTCAGCCGAGGAAAGCAAAAGCATGGAGCGTAGATAGAGAAAACTGGGTTACGTAGGTTCGTGTTGTGTGTACAGAGAGCTTCCCGCTTGCCCAGGTCGAGAAAGGGTTGACTTAGGCGACCCCACCCGGAGCATTTAGCCAAAAGACTTGACTCACAAGGCAGCGGAGCGATTAACGTATATCAAGTCAAGTCAAAATAAGCTTTATGTATCCAGATAGAAGCAGTTGCGGCACTTTACAGTATCGACTATGGACAGGCTAGAATTACATTATCAGATATGTAAATTCGTGTGAATGGAAAAATACACTGTGTACAGGTGTCACTTAAATCAACGATCAGTATAGACGAGCAACAATTAAACATTTCCGGACGAAATAATCTAAAGCTGCATACTATTGACAAGCCAGGGTTGCAAGCTAGATTTGCAATCGGGATGGTTCATCTTCAATTGCGCATTATCGAGTTTTTCTCAAAAATTAAGCGGACAGCAGTGTTGACCTTGGGCATAGTTTGACGAAGGTCAATGTTGAAATATTTCGAGAAAACTAATTTATCCATAGCGATATTATAAAAACGGCACGGCTGATTTAAAGGCCCCGCCTCAATCGCCGGTAACACGAGATACAAATAATAACGATTTACTCAGGGCACCCGAGCAGCCCGACAATTGCAGCACAGTATTCAGAAAATGCTTTCTGGAACCTCCAACCAGCCGCCGAACACGAAGACCATTGACATCCAGGTGCCTTATTTACTTTCTTAGTGTTCGGTAGCAGTCCACACAGAAGCCATTTGTCAGTAAGGTTGACCACCCGCCCTCTGTTAGGTACTCACTTCGGCCTGCAGAAGTGAGGTGGTACACTACTAATGAGTAGTATGTGTGGAAGCTAGGAGACGCGAGGAAATCATAAAACTCAAGGCACTTTGCGGATGAAGGATGCATGGACCACAACTCAACTGGACAAAGGACGCGTAGTACATTAATCACCTACCACCGATACGTTGGGAATGAAGGGGCGCAGTGGAACAACGAGCCACTACGATACCATGAAGGAAGTGCGCAAATGGACTCGAGTTCGAACTATCACAATGACGTGGGTTTTCTAATGCACGAATCGTCTGCACGGCGTTGCGTTCTCAACATGCAGTCAATGAACCTATAGCCGATCATCTTGACTTTGACACAGTGGCGTACGAGCTCTTGCGGTATTGGAGAACCAGATGACCAGCTCAGAACACCCCACGTTCCGAGACACTAACGCCAATTGCCCGTGACTGCTTATTCATCACACCTGCAAAGGTAACGAAACTTATTCATAGCTACCTCCGTAAGGAAGGCTTTCTCTGATCTGCAAGCTGGGCACGCGCCCGATAGCCTACACCTCCACCACAGGGGCTCGCAGGTACTGTTTCTCTATTCCTACTGCCACAACAAGTGCATGCCACGGAACTCAGTAAAGTGCACGAACTGGTGCAGAGAACTGCTTTGAGCATCTAGAATCCTCGGGCGTCAGATTCACTCTGTGGAAAAGCAGTGGTCGCGGATACGTTGGAGTGGAGGGGTGACGTGTCAGGAGTGAGTAGTGTGGTGCAAGCGGAATAATCGAACAGGAACGAATCAACAATGGAGAAACAGTCGTAGCGGGATGGAGCAACGTACAAATGGGTGGTGACTTGATTGGCTGAGTCCGATGCAGTTTAGAAGTGTTTTCTGAGGCTTTAACGTTCTGATCCCACTCCTGATGTCGCTTGGATGGTGCATTTCTTCCGACATCTCTTGATATTGCGTCGAACTGATTCACCACTGTTACACATTACAGCCTGCCATCGCGCTTTGCAGATAATGCACAGTCGTCTACGGACAGCAGCACACGGGCGGTAGTCTTGCACATTGTGGTGGGGAGTCGGGAGGTGGGTGGGTGTGCTGCTCATGCAAACTGGGTACTAGGAACGATACATGGAGTGGCTGGTTGAAAGTGACAATGCAGGCGCCAGTTGTAGAATATTTTCGTTTATCCAACTCACTGATCGTCACACTTGATCCACCCAACCAAGCGGAAGTTTGTCTTGCGATTCGACACCTAAGACGATTCAAGACTGCCGGCTCAGACGAACTTCCTCCGGAGCTGTTCAAATATGGAGGCTCAGTTATCATTAGCCAGCTAACCTCATTGTTCTCCAAAAATCCGGCATAAAGAAACGGTGCCTTCTTCCTGGAGCAAGTCAGTTATTGTTCCCGGTTTTTATAAAGAGTGCACGCACTTTGTGTACCAATCATCCGGGGGATTAGTCTCATTTGATTGCCTCCAAGCTATTGGCATCCATTCTACTCCGTAGACTATCTCCCATTTGCGAATCGCAGTACTGAGAAGAAGAAGCTGGCCTCCGACCTGGCCGCGGCGGTGTGGATCAGATATGTACACTCCATCAAATCCTAGAACACCGCCACCTTTACCAGATACCTACTATTGTTGCCTTCCTGGACATCCGTGCCGCATTCGACTCGGTTGATCGACCTGCACTATCGCGTTGTTCGCTAAGTAACAGTGTCCCTGAAAAGTACACCGCCATCCTACGCGCACTGTATCTCTACATTTCTGGCAGAGTGAGGGTGTATGGCAGGCTTTCGTCGTCCTTCGCTGTCATTAGCGGTGTACGACAGGACTCCCCGTTGCTCTTCAATTTTGCGATTGCAGGCATCCTGTCGAGAGCTCTAGACGGTTGCCAAAACTTCAGTATACAGCTATTACCGAGCATGCGAGCAACCGACTTAGATTATGCCGGTGATATCGCCTTACTTGGTGAGGACTCACAGAACATGCAAACCATTCTAGACCGCTTGGCGATCGCGGCATCTAGGTACGGAATATGCTTTGCCCCGTCAGAGTGTAGAATGCTGCTTCAGGATTGACACTCAACTGTTCCCCTGCTCAATATTGAAGGTACACAGCTTGAACAAGTGGATAACTTTGTCTACCTGGGCAGCTGTGTGTCTGCTAGTAGTGCCATTAGAAGCGAACTTTCTCTGTGCGTCGCCAAAGCTCGATCAGCATTTGTCAATCTGCAGCACTTGCGGTCTCCTCGGGATATCCTCTTGGTAAAGGGTCGTGTTTACAATGCCACCGTTCGGGCTTTGTTGCTTTCTGGAAGCGAGTCATGGCCAGTTCGCGTAGACCACATGCGCCAGCTTTCGGCCTTCGACATCGGGTGCTTGAGGAGGACTGCTCGTGTATAGTGGCAACAACACATTTGCAACAGTGAAATCAGTGGTTGTGTCTTAGGGAATGCGAGTATTCCCTTCAACAAGCTGGTTTCGCTGCGGCAGTTAAGATGGCTGGGTCACGTTCTGCGTATGTCAGCTGAGCGTCTGTCCTATTACGCTATGTTTGTTCATGTAGGACTCAATTGGAAGAGACCATGTGGTGGTCCACCATCCATCTGGCGACAGCAAATGAAATCGTTGACTTCACGTCTTGCCACCATTGGATCCACACGTCTGCCTGGTTGGGGACCAAAGGACGAGGAGTGCCGATGGCTGGAAACAATTCAGGATATGGCGCGTAATCGAAACCAGTGAAGGGTCTGTGTCCATAACTGCTTAGATTTGGATACTTAATGCCTAACGATTAAACACGACAAAAATATTAACAAATGACGTGTGCAAAATCACAGAAAAGTGCTCCGTTGTTTTTTACGCGGCATAATAGCTGAAGTTTGTTGCTCACCTTCATTTAATGTGCCATGATGCTGATGTGGTGTTCAACCTATCTTATTTCAGTGATTTCCATAGTTATGTTTGGCCCCATGTCTATGTGATAGCCTACTAACTATACTACTGTTATCCATCTCATTGTTTGTGATTTGAATGAGTTCTCAGTCAGATACGGGGCACTCCCAAAATGCGGAGAGATTTTATTATTTATCAATCACCGCAGGCTAAAGAGTGGTATGGCGTAGTCCCACTTTTCAGACGCTACGTGAAGCCGATGATAAGTCTAGGTAAGTGCGGATCACTCGGGTGTTTACCAAGAACTTGCCATTACTATCCATGTTAACACTATACGTTGTTACTCTTGAGCTGCGTACATCTTGACACTAAATAAATAAGCGAATAAATGATATATTTCTCGACAGGTCGAGATACATGCGAACTGCTTGGTCTGCTCACTATACAACAAAATCGGATGATGTAGTAAATTTTTCGAGTTCTTCGAAGTAGTTTTGGGTGTTCTACTGATTAAAGTTAATAAAATGACAAGGAATAAGTGTAGGTATAGCCAATAGTTCAAGTAGACTAATACAACCATCCGTGGAACCGTCTCCCGGGACCTACTTCCATGCGGGAAAATTCCTTGAAATGCTTCATCCGGACGTCCACTCCTTATCTGTCCATGTGTTGAAACACTCGAGTCGTTATTTCATTACGTTAGCGCCTGGTTTCATCTGGACGCGCAACGTTTTTTGTTCGACCCATTGTCTTTTTCACTTGAATTTCTTGCCCAATCGCTAATGTTTACTCTTTTTTGTCCACCCATTGTTCCAGTCCTTTCCCTCCGGAACTGGAATCCAGATTTCAGCTTAAAGGACCATTGTGCGATTTTTTCAATCGTTTTCTCAATGAACCGGATCCGAACGATCCTGCTTCCCGTCTGGTCTCACCCATTCTGTTTCTTCCACCTCCAGAAAGGTATTTATAACTGTGAAGTGTTTATTTACTTTGCGCTGCCACACAGTATCTTTTCTGGCTCAACTTTTTCTCCATCATGCTGAAAACATCGCTGTCCATACTGTATTGTTGCCCCCGTCTCACTACTGCCGCACCAGGGATATCAATCACATACATCTTGCATCACTATTGGTTTTCGGTTTTCAATCTAAATTTGACCATTTTTCAGGTACCCAGACTTTTATCGGTTCATTCTGTCTGCCTATTCTGGGGCCTTTATCCGGACTCGATTCACCGACACCTTTTTCAAAAGGGTGTTCAATCCAAACGACCAATCGCACGCTGTCGCGAATGAACCAATCTTCAGTGTAGAGTTTCCTTCTTTGTGCCTGGCCAGCATTGTTAGGTCGTTCTTGTTGCAATCGGATACAGAAAAGATCAAGAACCAGTTGAGTCAGGAGCTAATGCTTAGTGATTCGGAGCTCGCGTTGATTTCTTCGAATCCCTCGGATGCTACAGACAGTATGCCTTTGTTGGATGCGGCAATCGAGCATGTGCTGAGCGTCTGGGAATCGTTCGCTGGTCGTCGAAGCTGGCTTGGCAGACGTATTTCGGGTATTCGAGCCTTCTACTTCACTCTACGTGTGAGTGTTTCTTCTCTTCACGTGATTGTCAACAATTATGCTGTGATGCACTAAGTGAATTCCTCATTTTTATCTTCCAGCATCGTTGTCATCACTCTGAATGTTAGTTGGTGGCCAGAAACACCTCAGCCATTGTGCTGTCAGTTGTTGTCTTCTCCATTGCACACATTTAACCGTAGTTGATGTGATTGAATTCTCGCTATCGTTCATTACTTACGTTTGTTATTAGTCGAGCGTCGCGATTAAGGATTTCTGTTCGTTTATTGTGATGCGTCACCATCTACCGTGTGTTCTACTTGTTTCCTCTTGTATTGGTTCATTATTTGAGATTGTCTTATACGTGGTTCGTTTTTGTGTCCAACTCTAGCGCTGATAGATTACCAATTCAAGTTAGTTCTGTCGAACAATTACCACTGAGAGGTGTTCGATCCAGTTACCACGATTCGTATCGATAGGATGACAAGTGTTAACAATTGTGGGACGAATGAGATAGAAGTAGGTAAGGTTAGCTCGATATGAAATGTTAGCAGGTAGATGCAGGAAACCGAACACAGTAGCGCCACCAACTTCGCAATGATCGATGATGCGTCCAGCCACTGATGTCGCCCATACTGAAAACCCGTATCCGCGAAGACGGCAGGTGCCAAACTGACCAAATCCTTCATTTCTTTGACGTCACGCCATAGATTGGCTTTCTCGCGGTTTCGGCTAACTAGATGCAGCAGCCTCACGTAATGCTGGTCGAGGAAGGTGACCAATCGGTATACGAAGGAAGTGGCTTACCGAAGTTAGCCGTTCGAGTATGGTAGATGCTCGAGTATAGGCATCGAAGAGCTACTTGACGAACACTACTTAGTTGACTTCAGTCATCATCCTCATTTGAACTGGTATCTTGTTGCCCTACACAACAGTGGTGACCTACGTAACGGAGAGATGGGTACCTAGCGTAACACTTTAATGCCCTAAACAAACATTCACTGTCAATGCGCCTAAGCCTTGTTCCAATGACATACCGTCACAAACAGCTGAGTATCATGCAGATATAGCTGCATCAGCGAGATAGCTTTCTTGAGGCTTTCACTTCATTAGTAGCCAATGTTCCCATCAGATGTGTGCAATGCTCCGCATATATCGCTGTGATCGGCCATTATTTCACTAGAATCTAGTTCTGCTTCTTGTGTTCCATTCTTGATGCCAACGCTATCTTTATCTCATTGATATACTAGGTAACGTGTTTCTACCGTCAAATTTGGCCGATATGAGTTGAAAAGGCCCCCTTTGTTCCGATGAACTACATCTAAAAGATGTTATCAGTGTTTTCATTGTACTCAAGCTTTGCGTTTTTCCACTAACCATTTTTCATTTCCTACTTTTTAGACTGAGTGTGTGCGATCGATTGCTGATGAATATGGTCAAATAGTCCCGCCACTGAAGGCGACCGCTGTGTTGAACATGCCCACTTCCCGGTCATCATCAACAAGTGGGAAAAAGAAGGTACTTTCTATTACGAGCTTCTTTGTGATATGGGTGGCAATCTAGATTGTGTTTTTTTGACTCTTGGTATTTCCGTTCTCTATGTGGACTTAGTTGCGGCCTTGTGAACTGAATCCATGGTGGATGCATTCAGAATGAAATGTGAGTGTACGCGAGAATGCTTGTGAGTCCGTAACCTAGGTTATCTTTTATTTCATGGAACCGTATTGTGTGCGATCAATTCGCACAGCAACAGTGAACCAAGTGAAGCGAGACGTCGATGGGAGTAGGTCTAAATATAGTGTTACACCAGACTTGCTAGATTGGATCTTTGTGCCTCATGTGGTTTGCGTTCACACTCAACTTTTCCCATTCTCTTAGTGCACACAACACCATATTTCACTTAACTCAGCTGTGTTATCTGCGGTTTTCATTCCCACATTGTCCATGCTTCATAACTGTTTCGCTTTGCCTTCACCTGAGCACTGTGAATCTTTGAGGCAATCAAGGATGCGTTATCATTATCTACACTATGTGCAGCTTTTCAAGATCCGCAGCAGTTTAGGCTATTTATGCATGTGCACCCCAAACATCCACAGACATGCTTGCACCTCTCCAATGTATTACTTTTTTCCTACTACATAGCTTATCTCGTCGATGTCATGTTTTCCATCTTAACGCGATGGGTCGTATTTGAACATCCCCATTTTAAATGGGCATAGTTTATGTTAATCGTTATTGTTCTTGGAGAAGGGCGTCACTTGAAATAGCATCACAACTAGGCCATAGTAGTTCGATGGTCATTGTTTGTTGCTTATGAGTTTTGTGTCGTCACTTGTTTATTACTACGCAGGCTGACCGCCGTGCTCTAGAACGCGGTGCCGAAGTGATTCGCTGTCTCTGTGGATTCCGTGTCGAAGGTGGTCATGTCATGGTTCAGTGCGACCGTTGCGCGTCCTGGCAACATCTACCATGTCTCTGGTGGGCTCTCAGCCAAGCGGTTAAACAAACGGACCCTGAAACCGAGACTTCTCGCTTATGCAGGGCTGCTCTCATCGCTGCCCAGCTAGCTGGATCCGGGTACTCCGCGGATTTGGCAGAATCCGTCATATGTGGGAATTCGGAAAACGAGGAGTTACCTTATTTCTGTCCCATATGTCTTGATTTGGCCAACCTGACTTTGGTGAGTTTTCATCTCATCTGTTACCGCTTATTGCGCACTGAAATTCGACCGTCTGAGCTACATCAGTTTGTCAACTTGTGATGCTCAACTGTTTTTTAGTCGCCTTGCATCTCCCATTATGCAAAGAGTCTCTATTCAACATAAATTTAGTAGACAAACCACCCAACCTGATGGTAAGCGAGTCCGACGACTTTCGAACTGTGGTTTTTCGTTAACTTTATCGCTCGCATAGCGTGACTACGCACTTATTAGTATGCTAATCCGTTGCATTTAAACTTTACCCTGCAATCATTATTGTCCATTTTCCTTTACTTAATATACAAGCACTTAACTGGCCTGTTGCGTTGGCGCTTTCTCTTCACTTTTGTAAGTGTGCGAATCAGCTTAACTGTTCGCATCGGTCGTTGCTTCATTTGCTGCTTAATTATACCATTGATTCATCCTCCCTGTGCATTAACCCCGGAATCATATCATAACACTTGTAACTGAGATCCAAATGACTGCTTTTCGCCCCACTGCTGACTGATGATAACACGACCACCTGGAAAGTTGGAAGTACGTCTATCTGTCTGAACTGACAGGTGGAGAGGATTACTGAAAGTGGGGTCACTCTCAGCAAGATGTTGCGAATTCGTGGTGGGATAAACCAATGGAGTTGGTGTCTTTGTTGGCTCCAGGGCAGCTACTAACTCGTCACAGCGACACGAACCAAGCGGTTTACCATACTCATCGCCTCCAATAAGTCAAATGATTACTACTGACGATAGTGATCACATACCGAAGCCAATGTGTACTGATGACACAAAGCACGGTAAATTTGTGGCATTACCGAGTCAACAGCGTCGATTGTCACGAGCGATATCCACCTACACACTCCCAATAACCTGGGCGGATGGACCGCGCACATCGTTTTGTGCTTGACCACATGCCTCGATATTGTTTCCGAGTATGCTCTTTTTTGACTGCGTCTAACGGCGACTACGTGACGACACGACCCTTACACTGAAGATGCCGGCAGACGCATCTTTTCGTCACATTACTCGTGGACTGCTTGTTCAGGTGCTGTGGAGCCGGCTCCCTGATGATCAGAAGCTGCACGCCATTGTTTGTTTATCAATCTGTCCGTTACTTCATTACAAAGTTCTCATACACTAGCCCGTGTGCTTCCTTATCTGTACTTACCACATTGTATACCTATTAATTTATTTATTTTATTCGCTCCTCTAACGATGTGATCCAGGCCACTCATCGGAGTTTGAGTGAGTATTAGCCGCTTTGTGATCGATTCCCGTTGTCTGCTTATGTCTACCATACCCGCACGGTTTACCCCGACGAATTCTAACGTGCTGATTGTCATAAGGGTTTTATTACACCGTTTATTGTACCCTTTCGCGGTTGCAGAAACGGTAATCATTCCGATGCAAAAGATCACCTCTGACGTATATTGCTGTCTCGGAAGCTGACCAAATGATAGTCGGATTCCACCTCACTGGGTATCTCCTGTGAGACATTTTACATCCACACTTCAGATTGCCGCACTTTTGCAATAGGATCTGGCTGCGTATATTAGTTTCTATTAACTTTTACTGTGGCTTCAACGCGTAGAACCGTCATCACTTTGAAGTAGCCGGTTCCAGTATGCAAACGATTCATTCAAATAACTAGTTATCGTTGGCACGTGAATCCACATCGATCTTTGCATTATTCTTGTTCTTACATCCTTTAACTTTCGTCATCACGACGGCATCACTCGGACATCAATCCTCGTTGTTATTCTTGCGACCTCCATTCTCTACCACCTTTCGATCTCATGTGACTTCCAAATCTTCTTCGGCTTAACGAATTTATCTCGTACTCACTTCTCTCTTCCCAGGATTATCCTCGTTCGCTCTCAGCCGCTATGGCTATGAATGATATCGATGCCGTCTTCAGTCTTCGAGAAACCACCGTTGAGAATGAGCATGAATTTTGGAGCCTTGCGAGCGTCAACAAGCGGCACCAGATCCGGACGGACGAATTCTGCTTTATTAGTCGATCCTGGTTCGAACTCGCTACAAAATCGTGTTCTGACCGAATTGATTTCAAATCACCTGAGGAGACAACTTCAATTTTCCACCCTGCGCCTGCAGATTTCCATGATCGAATCATCATACGCATTTATCGACTATGGAAGGATCCAAGGTGCGACGCTTTTTCATCTCTTCTGCGGAAATGCAATCTATTTTGTTCAGAAACTTTTGGGTTGTCCTTACTATTCCATAAATGCATTTATGAGTGTGGCGCCTGGCGTTTCAATAATATGATGTGGTTAGGAATCGAAACACTTAGGTATACGCTGTTAGGTTCAATTTGCTGATTTATTTTTTCCTGCTTTACCTTTTTTCCGTGCGTCATGGTGTAGTGGAAAATCGTGGATGGAAGGTGGCCTATTTTTGCGACCCTACGATGTTCCTGATTTTACTGGTGCTTCAGAAGCTCCCGAAGAGCCACGTCTTTGGCATCTTCAGGAAGTTGTCTACGATGAAACTAGTCGACTCGTCCTGCCTCTCTCAGCTTGGATTGGTCGCTGTAGTGTTTCGTGCCCTTCAGCTTACAGGGTTGGGAGATTGGCTGACCTTATTTCTTCAAAGGAAGCGAACCAACTTTTGTTGGGTTCAGACACGGACGCTGTTTTCAATCAACAACACACCTTCAAACCCAGAGTTGATGGAAATCAACTCTTTTTCGTCTGTGAGAAGCTTTTTGATCGCACAAGAAATTGTCGATTAGAAGACATATCCCCCGGCTATTTAAAAGTAAACATGCGGGTGAGCGTCGTTCAGCTTAATTACTTTATGTCACTGAAATTAACCTTTTCCTACTGTTACATCCTCCTGACTTCTCAATAACCAAGCATTATCATCCGCTTTTCATATAGCCGTACTGCTTCCTCCGAAAACCAGATACTGTATCCGGCCGCACGGCTTTGCTCCGTCAGTGCACCGCTGCGCAGTTGTTGGAGTATGATCGAACTCCATTCACTCAATCGGAGGTGCCAGTCAGCTCCTCCGCAGTCAAGCCAAAGGTATGTTCAACCTTGCTCGCAGGTTCAAATACTTCATCGGCTCATCACACACATTCCATGAAATAAATGCTCCGGCGACAGGCTGTTTGACACATTGTCACTGTCCATTCACTATTGGCTGTTTTTGCTTTTAGTCTGAAGCCCTCAGTGGTGTTTTGCTATCCGTCCCCAGATCGTTGTGCATAATGCTCACGGTTCATATATGCCTCATCTCCATCCGCCTTTTACGCTTGCCTCACTGATAATGCATTAACGCAGTAGATTAATCATCAACTTTCATCAACGTCTCGATCTCTCTAGCCAAACATTTCACTGGATTTCATAGTCTAAATCATCCACCGCTCACTTATTTGTATATTTTGTCATGAATGACAACACGGCTATTTTTCCATTATGCCTGAAGACTAATCACCACAGGGTCGTAGACCACTTGATTCTGTAAATGATCTTAGACTCGTCTAACTCCAATGACGCACCCTTCTGGTGATAACTTGTTCATCTGGTCGACTCGTTATAGGGTGAAAAACTGGCTCGAGTGGTCGACTGGCTTGAACGTAAACGTCAGTTGGATTCGAAAATTGTTGATCAGCCTGTCACCGGACCGACTGCTATACCTGCTGCTGTGTCGCCAACCCATCGAGTCACTGCATCGTACCGAGGACGTCCAAGAGGATCGCGCGGACGCGCACGCGCCTACAAGCAGGCTCCCCAGCCTGTCGCTGAAAAGTGCTTCGAAGATGTTCCAGATCACGTCGTTGACAAGCTACCTGCGTCTAACCCCGTCCCTGGTGTCGATTACCCCAACCCGTCTCCTCGACAAACAGCTCCTTACTCTCTCAAGGGTCGGGAGCCTGTAATCGAATTGATCAACCTGACATTATCAGAAGAACCTTTGGCCGAGATCGAAAACAATCAAGCTATCGGTTTGGCTCTCATTGAAGACGGTATTGTAACGGAGTCATCTGACCAGGTTCTGACCGGTTCCGTCAAACTGGTGCAGTCGGAAATACAATCAAGTATCATGGGTGATACCGGGAAGGCATCGCATACATCTTCTCAATCGACCTCCGCTGATGATCGCGATCCGACTCCTTCGTATTTATTTTCGACAGAAGTTGCAGGACGATCAGCGAGTTACGACTCAGTAGTGGCGCAGCTGCCGTCGACTCATACTGGGGTCCTGCAGCATAGTACTATGATGCAGGCATCAGAGAGCGCCCTTGCTATTTCCTCTGACAAGGATCTTGTACCAGCGGGTGCAGATGTTGCACAATCTGCCAACGAAGCCGAGGCTGAAGCCATCAGCGCAGCGCCTACACCACCAATTACCTCGCGAATTCTGAAAACCGGCACTGGCCATCAACCTCGATCTGACCGGTGTGAAGCCGATGCGAATATTACCCCTAAAATTTCCCCAATGAAACCAGTCGGACGACGGAAACGACAGCTGCGTACAAGGAACTCTTCGACATCGGCAGTACATATCGCTGACTCTGAAAAACCGTGCTTCTTTTCTGATACAGAAGTGCCAGACGAGCGTGAAGCCTCGAGAGTGGTGACTGATGCACTGCTGCCCGACGCTCACGCTCAACATTCTCCTGCTAATCGTTCAGCTATCCCGGACAAGTGTTCCGCTCCGGATTCAGCATTTACCAACGTTTTACAAATCTCATCCTCGCAGCCAATTAGTCCTAGTGGTGAGACAGACGTGATTCCAGCGAGCTCGCCGTTGCTCAAGCCAGACGGGTTACATTCACCTCTTGAAGCACAGACCATTTCTTCGGAATCCTTAGAGGGATTAGAATCTTCGCAAGACGCCGTCATTTTGAAAGCCACCATTGTAAGTGCCTTGTTTAGAGTATGTTTTACTCACCTATCCCGCTGAAATTGGTTGGGAGCGTCGTCAATTTTCATTGCCTCATCAACACATGAAATATCTAAGTTCTTGCTAGTAGAGTCTTTAGAAGCAGAATGTTAGATCAAATTTCATATCCGTACTTAAATTTTCTTCACGAATCAGTATTCGTAAATGATGAGTGTGCAATGCACGTATCGCTGCGTTTCTCTTCCTTGTGGTTACTACCATAACCTTTCTCAGAATTATATGGGTAATCCAATTGTTGCTTATATCTGTCTAAGCTACTAGCACTATTCTCCTTCATTTATGTCTTATATGTTCTGTTTGCTCAGGGATCCACGGATACTGCTGACCAACTAGCAGTCGCGAAAGCCGAACACATTTTAGTGGGCATCCTGCACACAGGATCCAGCAACGTTTTCTCAGTTCAACATGCAGTCGCCGGGTGTATTCTGAAAGAACCCAAGACGGAAGCACCGTGCTTACCTAATTTCACGGAAACAAACGATTCAATTGCGGAATGCCATTTAGATCCAAAGATACCCCCGTGCTACTCACTTGACTTTGGAAAATGCGACCCTTCAAATCTAGAAAATAGCTCGGATGAGCTACCTAAGAAAGTTGAATATCTGCAACCTGAATCGGCTCTTTCAGATTCTAATGCCACTCCAACTTTGGACGAGTCGTCGTCTCCTAATGAGTCACTGTTATCGCCCTCAAACTTGCCATCAGAACTTATCGGTTGCCTTCCAGTGTGTGTTGGTTCTCTAACGCATTTGTCGCCTCTCGAAAGTGGAACGGGTCATGATGTTCGTGGTAGCAATGAGCACGCGCTTACAGAACGTAAGGCACTTTCATCAAATGCTCATTCATCGCACCGCGATCGCCGTGACTCGCAAAGTCCAACTCATTCTCAAATGCGTTCACACCACCATCACTCACCGGTGGAGAAGTATGATCATCGACATGTTCCTCCAGCCGCTCATTTTGAGGAGCATCGTGATCGCCGCCACAGTCGATATGACCACCACGAGCGCTATTGGCCTGTCGAACATAACCCTAAGCCTTCATATCACCACTGTTTCGATGACCACAGACGCGAAAACCACGATCGATGGCATCGTAATCGCTGGGAACAATCGCCGAGCTCGTCGGGTTCATCGCACCGCCACCACCAGCGTAACCATCACACATCTCCTAAACCATCTTCACAGCTAGGTCGTCGCTCCCACGACAGAAATCCATCCCGGTTTTCAAAGCCGAGTGGTTGAGGCTTACCTTTTAAAGTTACTTCCACTAACTGCGCCAGTGCTCTATGGGGAATTGCCTCCATGTGATGCCTCACCATCGAATATTTTTTCGGTTTTCAACACTCACATTTCATGAGAGGATCATGCGTGCAATCTTCTACAAAAAGCAAGTGATCAATCCCCCTCGCTCTAACTTCTCGGCCTTAAAATGACTGACCATCTTCATCCGAAGTTGTTTTCATTCACTGCGATATGCTTTTCATTTGTGGCCTCGCGGCTCAATGTGACTTGATCTCTCTGCACAGACGAATACTACTTGACACTCGAACGAGGCTCTTCGTCTGATACTGTACATAGTCAAATGAAATGACACTCGCCCCTTGTCATACGTATTACTACTGCTTGCTTAGACAATCTTGTAATGGATTTTGATCGACGCATAGCACGGCATATTTCCGCTTTCCCACGTGTAATTATGCACATGATTCACTATGCCCTTCGAATAGTTCGCATTTTGACAATTGTCTCCAATTCCTTTATTTTGATCAGCTTCATCGTACTTTGTTGCTCGGTTTTGTGTATATACATATATGATCGTTCATCTCATCGTTTGTACTCGACATCCAACGTAATCATGTTATGAAACTGATACAGACTTGTTGTCTCTTGTACATCTTTTGCTTACTTTCGAATATGCATTTTCCACCCATTCAACTGACCTTACTCGTTCCGATTCATCTCACCATTGAGTTGACCTTCGCTGCCACAGGATCACCTGTTAGAGATCACATTTAGGCTCAAATTATTAAAAGTTGAACTCTTCTTATCGAACTCATAACGCACAGTGACGGTTGCGCTTCTAGCACCACATAACCTCATGTCTAGTCTATACGGCGGTCAACTTATATTAACGATAAGCCGGTATTCCATGTCTCCTGTGGAGAGCCTGCGGATTGTTCACCTGGCTGTCTGACCTATAAACAGCACGACGTTTACATTAATTCGGAGAATTATAAGAGGCTGAGCAACACTGATGGGGGAAACGAGAGACACGAACTGAAACTCTATTGCTGTTGGTGGCTGCCAACGAGACAAAGAATGGGATAACACAGACAGAAATGGGTTAACAGCGACATCAGAGTCCGACGAGGTGTTACACATTCGCTCCCTTCAACAGCAAGTATAAAAATGGTTGTTGTTTCATATAAGAGACAATAGATGAAAAAATTAGAGTTCCGGTGCAGGCACTGTATTATACCCCAAAAATAGGACTGCAGGGCGTTCAAGTGTCCTTTATGTGTTCTTCTGAGTTGCCTGAAGTTTTCGGATAGGAAATGATAGTTAAATGGCGAAAGTCGACTCACACTGATTATCAGGAAATGTGAGGTATAAATAAATCAATCAATTCAACAGCGTTCAAGGGAAAAGTGTTAACAACCATAACCTGAAAATTAAACGAACCATGCGGCGATAACTGTTTGTTACCTTTCAAAGTTGACAACTTCGAGGACCAAAGTTCGAGAGGTACTCATACGACGGCTGCCATGTATTTCAGAGGTCGCCTGTTCGAACCCGCGTTGGTGTGGCCGACATCGCAATATCCGTATTTTGCGTGCGACTGATGGTGGCCACATGGTAGCGGAGCGTCGGCACGGTGTACCGCTGGTACCTTTTTCTATTCACGCACATTGCCTACTTTGTTTAAAGCGCAGCAAGCAGCTCCCTGGATTGACGACCGAAAAGCTGTCTCAATCCATGGTCGAACCAACCTACCTACTGAGCTCTGTGTTTGCTGTCAGGACATCGGAAAGGTAAGAAGGCAGGCATCAGCAGTACGCCGGTACTTAGTGCCGACACTTCGCTGCCGCGCAACCACCGCCGGTCGCACGTGGGCTAAGGATACTGAGGGTCGACCGGTTCCTACGCAGGCTCGAACCCGCGCTCTCGGATTTCAAATCAGGTTTCTGCCCCTTAAGGCTACGGACCGGCGTCAGGACACCGAACTTCGCTGGAATATGATTCCAGCTTCCACGCATTACGAAGATGCTTCTACTTGAAGTACTATCGGTCGTTAGTGTTACTGGATACTGGAATATGCTCGAATTCAGAAGGATCTTTGTTAGCAACAGAAAGAACACGGGCTATCAGACACTATGTAAACTGGGCCTATAAGCTGCTAAGTGTGATGGTGACTGAAAGCTGGGGCGAGGGACATCGCTTGCCTCAGTGCGGTCGATTGAGTGGACGAGTGTTTTTAAACACCCAGCTAACTGTACATTACCTCAGACTTGTGAATAGAACGCTTGTGTGCGGAGCCGGCGTGAGTTCCTTCTGTTGACGCGGCTGGGAGAACCAGACACGCAACATGGTGACGGAGGAAAAGAAGAACCCGTTGAGCCATCAGCAGCTTTGCTTTAGCTGGCAGCCGTTTGTAGCGATGCTGACTCCATTACAGATGACGGAGGGTTCGCTGCCCGAAAACTGCCGCCCGTGGAGAGCGGAGTGAATGAACGTTGCAACACTGATCGAGTTGGATGAATATCCTTTGCCATACCACTTAGCCATGTTCAGATACGCCATGGGCCATGATGTGAGGCGAATACTAGACGCCTGAAATTTCTGCGATCACAACCAGGAACTGGATCTTTCAGAAACGTTGGAGAGATTTGGTGATTAGGTGAAGGCAGATTGAACCATTTTGCCCGTTGCTGTCGATCGGTCAACGTTAGGTTACTTGCTAGTGTAAATCAGCAAGAAGCGCAAAAGATTTCAGTGAATAAGAAGTGGGATCATTACGAGGAAAGATGCGCTAATGCAAAACTGGCGATTCACGAACAACTAGTTCAACCGCAAGCGGACACTGGAGCCGCCATACATTTGCAACCGGAAAATATTTCCACTAACTACCTGCAAGACCGTCTTCGAAATCGTTCACAGCGGCGAAAAACACGTCACCAACACAAACCCAGACAGCCTCATACTTTAGCACATGGAGATGAAATATGGTTTAAACCTAGAGTTGAAGGGTGTCGGAAAAGAAGAGCAGCTGAGAGTCGGAAAAGAAAGGGAAGCTATCAAATGCGGTTAAAAAGGCGATATGGTGAACAGACTGTGCACTCGGACGAGAAGCCGCATCAGCAGAATAGGCTAAGGTCGCAGCCCAGGTTCGAAGGCTGTGAAGGAGATACGGAACATACAACACACACAAAAAAACAAAAAAATAGGAAATTGATATGATGGTGGCTGAAAGCGGGGACGAAGAGAATCGCCTGCCTCAGTGTGGTCAATCAGGCGATCGGTCGAGTGGGCGGATGAGTTTTTAAAATCACAGCTAGTTGTACATTACCTCAGAATTGTGAATAGAACGCTTATGTTTAGAGCCGGTGTGAGTTCTTCCTCTTGACGTGGCTGGGAGAACCAGACACGCAAGACTAAGGAGGCTACATGAACTCAGAGGGGTCCAGAAAGAGGCAGTGGCAGTATTTGTGTCTTAGCTCACGAAACTAAATAAATAAAAAATAAATCGCCAGTTGTACACCGTAACGGCGTTCGGCTACCACGCGACAACCACCAGTCGCGCGCGGTCTGCGTATACCATGAGGTTGCCCACCTCTACGCGGATTCGAACCGGTGATTTTATGGTTGCAAACCAAGCGCGCAGACCACTAGGCCACCGGCCGACCACAACAGTGAACACCATGTGGCTTATTTAGTTCTTGAAAGTTGAAATATAGATGGTACATTTCACATCCGTCAAGAGCCTTGGTTCGAAACGCGATCACAGCTCCGAACTTGTTCAACGCTGTCGGTCAGTATCCTCTCATGTTCCCACCGGCTGAGGACGGTGATGAGGTCCTATACGGAAAATTAACCCATTTTCTGCTTGCGTCCCTTTTAAATACACTTACTAAAATGTTGAATGAATTCAAATAAACCTGTATTCGTCAAAAGGAAAGTTCAATCAAAGTATAGTAAATAATATACCAGTTCATTGACTTAAATCATATTTGAAAAGTGTCTATAAAAATCCAGCGGAAAATGGGTTTATAAATCAAAGTTACTAGCCTCTCTTCTGGTTCGCCTCCTTACTCCAGTACCAGAACCAGTAGGATTGTGCAAGTCAGGACTCCAACCGGAGTATTGCACACTATTGCCGAGCGGAAACTGCTGGAGCGGATTCACATATAATGCAGGCGAGATATAGTTGTTTATCCAATACAAGAGTGTATTCAATCCAGTTTACTCTTTTCCCCGTTTGATTTATTCGGAGGATGTTAACAGATGTGGACACATCTCTAGTCTTATAAGAGCATACGCCTTTCTCTGTGACCTCATTTCTTTTCAGTCTTTCCGGAATTTCCATTGCGAGTTCAGCGATGTAGTTACTAAGAGCCAAATGGTGAAACTAGTTGGTATGGATGACAACATCTGGCTGCTTGGCAATCATCAGGAAGTACAAACAATTTTGGATAAACCCTACTGGGTGGTTCCACCACTGGCACACATCGAAACTTCAATGTACTGTCGCAGGATCCCCAGTGACTTGATCAGGAGTTGAAAATAGTCCATCAACTCATCCATCTTGATAACTGCATTAGCAATGATATGCGTGCGACTGTTGAAGCTAATTCACGTATTACGAGACCTAAAAATGCATTTCTGAATCTGTGGCACCAGAAAAGCATTCCCATCGAGTTGACTTGCGCCTTTCTATCTTAGGACGACGGAATTTGACACAGTATAACTGAAGCTCCAAAGCGCCTTCAGGTTTCTGATCGTCGCTGCTTTCGGATTATTGTCGTTGCCCGTTGGAACGAATGAAATCGTTATGGCTCTCGGAGTAAGACTTAGCATCCGCTTGATTACGCTTTGAGAGCACAAAAGCGGACCCCACAGCACAAGGTTTGTTGACACAATTAACACAAACCGGAAGAAACATGAGGGGAAACACACGAGTATCAATTGTCTTACAGTTGAATACACATTTGGTTAAATAGGAACTCAGTGACCCGAGTATCATGAGTTCGTGTGTGACATGCGACAGGAACAAATGTTTCACAACGCAAAAACAGTGTTTTAATTGCAGGAACTGGTTGTTCCGACACAAAACCTGGTTCCTTGTTGTAAAATGACAGAATAACTCGATATTTCGTTCTTTTGGACAGCTGCAAATAATGCGAGAAATTCTCCTAGCCAAGTTACATGAACATTTCGCCGCTCTGCGTTCCCTTAAGACTACGGAAATTGAACAAATTGCGTTGTCTTTGGAATGCACCATGGGGCACCTTGATTTTACAACGGGTTACTCCTCTCCTTTTCATTTAAATCTTATTCGTGTGTTTATTATCGTCGCATGGCGTTGAAGCGTCGATACAGAATACTGGTGTGTTACCGCTGTTGATAATAGCAATGTTTATTTCCGATGTGTTGTTTGCAGTGAGCGAACAACTGACTTAAGTGTCAATCCTTTGAAACCTATTTCGTCTGACTGATCTTGTGGCTTACGACATTCTTGGCAATTAAGCGGATAGTGGAAACGGCGGTTTACTCAAAGACAGGTCGCGCGACGTGGTTTGCGGCATCGGTAGAGCTGAAAGTATGAGCCCTATTTTAGGTAAATTCCGATACGCATATTTGCGAATATTCAATGCGCCGAATAAGCCAAAACCTATGCTAGGTTCCCAATACATATACACACACGCAACCTCATTCGCTAACTGCTGCGATGTATGTAAAAAATGCGCTTGCAATGAATGATGCGGAGTGGAGCAGTTGTTTCACTTGAGCGTGCGCGGTGGTATTTCATCAGTGCAAACATGAAATCTGTCCATATCAGACTTTTATTGGCGAATATCGTGTCTACGTAACGGCGGTCAATAGGGATAGGTGGCTGTGGATGCTGGCACACTGTCTGAGACATTATCAACAGGGTTGTTAACACACCTGCTCTAACCATGCTTGATCAACTGATTCTCGCAGACTGCAGAGAGAATTCATGACTAAACTGAGCAGGGTATAAATGGTAGCTGCTCAATCATCAGATAGCCAAGTGACTAGAGATACAAGTGAATCCGCCGATCAGATCGGCATCACTTTCCCTGGGTGCTCAACGGACTTATTCAAGATTTGACTTATTTTATTGGGAAATGTTCATCGCGCACTTTGAATATTTTGCAGCAAATAATCGCGGAGGATGCACTGTTACATTCCAATAAAATAATGCATCTGGCAGTGAAGTGTTATGCGGGTCGGCAACGCGTATTTGTGTTGCAGTAACGCCATTAAAACGCTGACTGCAGGTATTAATGCTGACATAAAGGAACCATAGACTAATTGCATGGATCAACGAAAACAATATCAGAAAGTTGCAGTACGATATAACCAATGTCGTTAGACATGTATGCTTTGTCAGCAAAATTTTGCTACTCTCCAGTAGACCACTGTGACTTTTTATTGTGACCTCTGAGTTAAATCAAGAATGCGCTTTTATGCACCCATGAAGCGTGAATTTGCAGCCGTGTGAGGGTCTACAAGAAGCAGTCTGAGTCCTCCACGATAACGTGGAATACTACGGTTGCCAATTTCCACTTTGCTACAACTTTGCAATAGGAAAGATGGCGAATGATTCTACCCTATACTTCTACTAAAGTGGCAGATTCGCTGAGTGCCAGGCGCTGAAAAGTGAACAGACGCATTCGGCATGTGTTTCGCACCTCCATAGTGGAATTAGTTACTGCTATGTGATTGGGCAGAAACTGCGAGTGCTCATTGTCCCTGCGCGACAACTGGATGTGATCACTCACGTATTCAGGCGGTTGCATAAACACTGTGGAGAACTAATCCCTCACAGAAACAGCAAGGACCTTGTGAGACTTGAAGATCTAACCCATCTACAAAGGTGGTAGGATGTCAACTTCGCAATCAAAATTAAAGTGCCATTTGATGATGTAACTAAAGATCGATATATAGGATGCTGCCCGAAACAACACCGTTTGATCAGATATAAACGTATCTGCCCCTCCGTAGGAAGAATTATTGAAATCGGATGGAAACGGTGATCGAGTGGGTGTTGTGGAACAGAAAGCAGTTACATAGGGGGGCTCCAAAAACATATCTCAGAATGCAGTGTTTTCGGGCGGGTAACACCCAATATTTATCTCCTTCATCAGCTACAGTTCCAGTGATCGAATTGGACAACGTTCACTTCAATGGGAATCGCAGTCAACATTGAGATTGCGTGTCGCGATCCATCCACGCAACGTATACTTCAAAATGACTCTCCAATATCAGGCTTTGTTTACTTTTCATCGCGCAGCAACGTATACGACGAATGAGAAGAGTATGAGCCCGAGAGATTACGCTTTATTCATTAAACAAGTGAGCCGTGTAGGCATCCACTATTATACACGGCAGAGTATGGGTGTGAATATTGCAGTTTACCAGGAGTAAGTAGGATGGAAAGTATGGACAAATCGGACGGCAAACTACAGACCATGGACCAACACAATTGGCTACCAGATGGCGCACACTCAGTTGCCAAAGAGAGAGATGTAACACAGGAGAAAACAGTTGTTTCAATAAACGGATTGGCCACAGCGCTCAAATCTCTGCAACAGGAAGGAGAGGACGCAGTGCTGGCCTTAGTTGCGTTGCATATCTTTCATGGGTGTTCGATGAACGATTCGTTCAACCAGCCAAGGATTGCCGTAGACACATAAGCAACTTGGAGGGGTGTTGTGCAACGATGAATCGCACTTAGGCAACACGAAGGGGTGACAACACTGTCATCATCATTCTATACATAATTTGAGAGTGGGAACACCCCACGGTGAAAAAGGGAAAAACTAAGATATAAAAGGCGATTACTATGCTGTTTTATTTTATGCATTGACAACTAGATCGTGGTTGGGGAAAATGTCTAAGCGGGAGAGTGAGAGACAAAGAACATTGCAACACAAACACCCTTTAAATCGGTTTTTTTACCATTCCAATAAAAGTATTTACATGTTTATCGTCTTTCCAGCCCGGATCGGGGAGAATTGAGGCACCAACCGAAGCTAAGTTTCAAGTGAGAACCTCCATTATTCTCAACCAAATCATCAGTACACTTGCTTTTCCTACACCATAAACAGGTTGCCAAACACACTCCTTCCTCAAGCGGTATTCCCAATAAATATGAGCTAAACCTTGAAAGCACCGATGGTAGAGACTAACTAGCGCCTTCACGTCTGTCGATCTGATTGGCCAGAATTCACGACCGTACAGGAGGTTTGAGCGGATGACTGCACTGACTTTATCCCTCAGGGTGAGAGCGAAGTCGCGCCGGCGCCGTAAGTAGTGAAGTTAAGTAAAAGCGTCTCGATTCTTCACTACATCTTCTATTCCACATGTGATAATAGAGCTGCACAGGTGGCTAAGTTTATGAACCATATCTAGCACGATCACAACCAAGGGTCAGAGTACGGTACAGTCCCCGCCGATTTTAGAGGAAAGTCTTGCACATGCAGGGTGCAGAGCACAGCCCGAAACTGCTGACATCCAACGCTGATTTCCTCATTGGTACTTGGTAGGTTTGTGAGCTATCACAGATTAGGGTAGTATCATCGACATACTCCAGCGCAAGAAGTAAACCATCTGGAAGCAACTCTACATCTTTTTAACAAATGTGGCTTCTATAAAGTCGTTCATAACAAAGTTAAAACGAAAGGAGCCATTTCGCATTCTTATTTCACACTGCTAGAAGTATTGAAGGTCTCTGGTAACTTCCAAAAAGATCTTGCTCTGACCGAACTGCGCGTGCAAAGCGTCTTGATGATGTCTACGTGCTTTTCGGGCACAACATTCAGGGTAAAAATAGTTCCAAGGGATACACTGGTCCACTTAATTAAAAGCATACTTCACATCGAAGTACAAGACTACGGTGGGTCGCCAATTTAAGCAGCAGTGCACACATTGAAGAGATGGTCATTGCAGCCTCGATATCTGCGACGACTCGGACTGACCTTCGCGAATCTGGCTTTCATAGTGGCCAGTCAACCCGTGGAAAACAACAGAAGCAAGTAACTCGGAGTCAATTGAGAGCACACTGATTCCTCTATGACTGACACACTCTGAACATGAGCCCACTTTAAAGATAAGGACAATTACGGCGTAACTCCAATCGGTAGAGACAGTTTCCTGCCCCCTCAGTGTTATGTATGAGTCCAGCATGCCTGAGGCTGGTCTAAATAGACATGTACACAAGCATAGACACGCACATAAGTACATACTTATCTGCTTCCCTATTGGTTCATTCTTTTATTTGCCTCGCCTCATGTACCTTACAGATTACGGTAGTTTGTTTACCGGAGCGGACCTACTTACTTCGGATCGTGCATGTGAACTTACGTACACAACCCGGTATCACTAGTAGATCGTGTAAAACATACATAAGAGTAAGTCCCGGAATTTAAAGATGGCTAGACGAATCACATCTGGCCCCGTGACTTTATGCTACCTCGGCATTCTGATCTCACGTTCAACTACGAGGGCGAATTCAAAGGGACGGCCCAGGGAGCACCGAATCCGGTAGTTCCTGTCGGTCAACCCTTTGTGTCCTGACAGTACTTATAAGCACCACTTTGTTTAAAGTGTAACATTGCTTCAGTGCAAGCGTCATTACTGCCGTCACTGGCAAGAATACGCATAATAGCCTTCTGTCAACAATTAAGTAAGGGTCAGAACTCCGGTACTTCGCTCTACAGTGTGTGGAGTAAACTATTGTGGTTCATGTCGAACTAGAGATAAACTAATTCAGGACCTAAAAGGCTAAACTACTTTGCAAAGTGTTCAGCTCAACGCTCTAAGCGTTTTGACAGTTTGTGGATAAACTGTCTACCCTCGTCGTATATAATCCCGCTAAAAGCTAGTCTCTTGCTGGTTGTTTCCAATATCAGGCGTAACAACGTCCGATACACAGCGTCTGTTTCTTTTTCCGATGCCCAATAAATCACAAAGCTTCGCAGTAGCTCTTCAGGTTAGCATGACGTTTTGCCTTGAGGTATTTACAGCTTTCATGTTCGCTCCCCGTCTCAGTGTGTCAGCGAGCATTCAGAGGTCCGTCAAAGAAGTATCGAATCCGGATATACAGTGTTAGATGAGCAATAAAAATGCAGGCATACTTGTGCGACCATTCATGACATCTGATTTTCATTCTGTTGTCGTAGTCCATTGACGTTTGTTTTAAGATATCATTTCGCTAGCCCCATCGATTATTTATAGTCCTTTATACTTCCGCATTTCAGCCCTACTATGACGCGAATACTATCAATTTCCTTTCTGCGTATGCATCCGACTGGTTTCTTATTTGTCCAGTCCTTATTGGTTTTGTTTGTCCGCACGCTTGCAGCATTCTGGTTGGTTTTTACGTTTATGCATCACGCTGTATAATGAAGTCGTTTCCTTGCGTAAAAAAACAGGTATCTTGTTCCTGCTCGTTCACGTTCTCACCACCGTTAGTGGGTGGAAGTAATTGCGGGGTCCGACACAATACAAAGCAAGTACGAAGCATAGCTGAGACACGGTGACAATCACGAAAATCTTTGTTGCAGCTATAACGAATGGTTGGATAACAGGGAAAGACTCATTGATGCTAATGCGTCCTCTGGGTATAAACCAACCGCTCTGCGGAGTAACTTTGATTAGGGAAAAATAATCAGATCGGCACGAAATCGTGGCGGTCGTGATCCCAAATGTTCGCAGCTCTCCACTGACCAGAAAAGGTAACTGAGACTCCGTGTGTTTTGTGCCGATTGAGCAATGAGGTTGAGAGAGTGGTCTGGGTTCGGTCGATAAAAGATCAGCCGAAGGAATCGATGGCAGCTGTTCTTCTCATTTGCTATGTTACCAAATCATATGAAAAGGTGAAACACTCACCCGGATCACAATCGGTAATCGCTGAGATGGACCCAACTCGTCATACCCAGGTGGCGGTGTTGCATACCCGGTGGGCCCGGATTGATTCAAACGATCGGTCCCAACAAAAGTCGGTTGTCTCGGGTAATCAACCTGAGGCGAATAGAGCGCATTGTCAGGGACCTCAAAAGTAGCAAATTTGGAAAGCGCTACGAAGTGTCGCTTACATCAAGTAGTTCTTCCGGTCTGAACACTCTTGGATTACGTGCCTCATCGGCACCAGCGTTGGCCACAAAGACAGCGTTGATGAGACAACCAGAGGCGATTGATAACGGGATCGCAAAAGTGAATAGCACCATCCCAAATATTGCTAGTCCGCTAAAAATAATGAACAAACGAACAAAATTTAGGGATATGCTTTATCGAACTTTCTAAAAAACACAACATCTTACAACTCCAACAATCAGTAATCGCCTCAGCGCCATACATGCTAATTTGATTGATGTTGGCTTACAAAGGTAGTCGTAGTGTTGGGGGTCAACACTGTTCTCCGCACGTTCATAACGTGCACGAAAGTGGGGGATGAGCCACTCCGCATTGTAATTAGTAATCAGGCATGGGCTCCGCTACCGTCACCCCTGGGTCGATGGTTTGAGCCGCTTGTTCGCCATAGGTTGGGATCAAGTAGGAACCGATGGATGCACGTTATTGACGAGTCCCATAGGACAATAGCAAAAAACGTTTGATAACATACACCACTTAGCTTCGAAAGTCATATGTAGACAATCAAGTTTTTGCCTAAAATACATTGGAGTAACTACTCACAAATTTTTATGTCCATATCTAGAGTGCAAGTCAGCCAATTAATGGAACAAACTAGAGTCGCATATTTATAGGAGAAAACTGCCCGGGGTGCACCGATTGCATCAGCCACTCGGTATATTAATTAACAATGAGACCTATCGATTCATCGGGCAGGAAGGTGAATAAGAATCAACACACAATTAATAAGCATAGATAGGTACACAACCAACCTGTTGTATTTCAATCGGTCGCCGAAAGCAGCCAGAAGCCCTATACCCGCAATCAGAAAAGCAATGGCAAAAATGGTGACGGTAATTGAAGCACCGATAATTATTCTTTCCAGACGCGACCGTTTCATTCTATCCGTTTCGTGAAGTGGTCCAAGGAATGCAGAATTCATTGGAGCGACACACTGAAATTAAACATAAATGCTCTAGCAGATGGAAATTGAATGTTACCCGCCCGAAAACTCTCTAGTTTTCACATTAAGATTATCATCCCACCCATCAAAACACCATCTATACAAGCTGAATTGATCCGCTACATGGGGCGACATTGCTGACGGCATGCGTACCATTCAACCGCCAAATTATACAGCCCAGAGGGCTGTATTAATCAATGATGACTAGTTTTTGAGGTACGTTGATTTGATGTTATGTGAAAATGCGGGCAGAGTTAGGAAGCATAATCCGAATACTGTTGTCACCTAGATATGAAGTAATGGAGTCTGAATACCTAATGAAGAGCTGTGAAATTTGATCGTAAAATTCACGAAGTCTAAGCGGATCGACAACATTCGCTTCAGTGTGCAAATTTAAGTCTCATATATGCACAACCAACAAGCACACGGTCGCATTTCCGTGAGTAAACCGAGCGCGCGTGTTCCAAACAGCAGAGTAGAACGGCCGAAGAGCAGCAAAGTAAACAGCAACAATATCTCAGTGGTCCAAACGAATAATTCGCCGTCATGTGCCAGCCATGTACTGTAACGTACCCGGTTGAGCACAAGCAAGGTCGCGTGGATGGCACGCCGGATAAATAGCGCCCAGTATAGTTGTCAGTGAATACGACTCATGCTACTAATTCAACTTCGGCTTCACTTCCCGGGGCTTTACACCATCCTACTTCCAGTAAACGAAACAAACAAACGAAACAAGCAGTGCCCGGGCATACGCAGTACGTACGCAATAAATCCATCGTTATTTGTCTTGCTAAGAAACTAACTTAAGTATCACCGTATAAAACCCACCTGCGTTATATATATATATATATATAATGAGCGATTACTTGATGGCACCTCAGATCCTCGAACTGACAGAGTCAAGTCTCAATGTGACCATGTATACACTAACTTTCGGGCCGATGCAAATCCAAATATTGTAACAGCTGTCACACGTTCAAGAAAGTGATGGTAGCTTTCAAAATGTGTAATAACTCCTGCAGTCACAAATCCACCACTGCTGTCAAGATAATTAACCGGATCAAATATCCCAAGTTCCTCGTCTCCAACAACCAACGGGTGATCAAGTTATCTGTGGTCCCGAAACAGCACAACATTTTGGAAATGAATGGACCGCTTCAGGACCGGCAAACGACGAGACAGTACTGCTCACGTAATCCAGATCAACTGTTTTCATACTAGGAAAGATAACGGAACCAAGCACACCGTGATGGAGTTTACCATAAGTCTGAAGACAAATCAAGAGATAGGACGACCATGGGTGGCGAATTCCGCCTGTTATCAGAAAAGCGTTGTACATTCCCCCGTAAATCCTGACATGACATGTAGCGTTTGAGTGTGTGTGGGGTGTTTAAATTTCTTATGTGGATATCCTTCCAAGTACGTACGTCGAAAAGAATGGAGTGATCGACTGAGCCGAAAGCACACAGTCTGTGGTACGTGTGACGCTGTTCGAGACTCTGAAGCAGTGAATCTAGCGTCTATACAGGGTTATTCAGGAGGGGGAAAGGCTCGCGCCTCTCTCATCAACGATTCCAACCCCAGCAACACAGTGGAAGAGATTGATGTTAGTTGTCCCTCCTGCTGACATTAACCTGACATTTTTGTGATTAGTGCAAACGGTGCGACTGCCTTTCTTGTATTTTGCCACTATGGTCGATTCACTCCATACTCAGATATATCCGTGCTTTCAATTGTTCTGAACAGACTCAGTACTAGATAACAAGAGCCAGGCAATGTGTGGCCAATTTAGCTCACAAAGTGCATACAATCTTAGCTAGAGTTGCTTTTTAAAATCTTCACTCCCCCCTTCCTGGAGTAGTGCAGTATAATTTGTGATAGCAAGAGTAAATATGACAGAATAGCTCCAGAGAGTATGCAGAGGTTTTTTTGGCATGAACTGTCAGAAGTGGTACCGGCAACTCCATCTCGATCCGCTTTGGCTGCGAAGACTAAAGCATATCTTTATGGTGCTGTACAGTCCGAGTCATAGCAATGTTCATTGCAATCTAACTGCACTAAGATTGCAACAGAGCACCACTCGAGACCTACGTACTAAAGATTTTACCTTGATTGTACGAAAATGCTGGACGAAGGTGCAGCCCAAGTTCTGTCCAATAAGATATGCTGCTTTCTGGAATCGGTTAGCTATCACAAGTAGACAGATTGAGAGTATGCAATAGTTTCGTAATAAGCCAGAAAGCTACCTAGACCTGTGCACGGTTATGACCTTGTTTTCGTAAAGGAAATCAATTGAAAATCCATTTTATGAGGACTCAAGCAAGCGTGAAATTGGAAAAAATTAAGGCAATGTAAACAGCCCTCAGAATCTACATCCTCAAACTCCACTGATGCCATTCACCTTAAACACAAACATCTGAGACAAACACTGCAAAGGAACACAAATACAATCAAACTGCAGATTTCTCGTGCAAGAGCATGGTGCTATATATATATATATATATATATATATATATATATATATATATATATATGTATATATATACTAACTATGGACGCAGCTTTACACTTGATCAAAAAGAGTATTAGTAGTAGCAATCTCTACCTTACACACCTGTTCGAACAGTGGGATCAATGGTTTGTAGAGAACCTCACCATCAAGCTCAAATAGTATGCGTGCAAAGGAATTCGGACTGACAGCTTGAAAACGATTGGAAGCTCTGATTACCCTTCGCACATCAGTCTCCGATGGTGCCTCTTGCTAACTGGTCATAGTTCGGCTTGCACCGCCTGAGCAAGAAAAGGCAAAGAGCATGAGGCTAAGTAAACTGCTCTCGAGTATGTTCCACCCGATTATCCAGGTGTCATTCCTAATCGTAGCAATGATGCATAAGCTTCTGGGACCAGTGACAGACCAATTGGAACAGTCTATCATAATCGCTCAATGCACCTGCCTCTCCCAACTTCCAAGCCTTATGCATTCAAAAGATTCATTTCTCAGTAAGCACATTACGTTCTAGCTCGCGCCTAATAATCCCTCACATCACGTTGTGCGAAGCGCCAATGTGGTTTTCTTTGCGGATCTCAACAGATCCGCCGATCTCTCCGATAAATTGACGATTCCTAGTACAGCAAAGGAATGCTTACGCACTGTGCACGATGGCCGAAATACTATTCCACTGAAGCCCGATGTCCTTGCAGCAAAAAAACTGAAAACCTGGTAAACATAGCATCCTGATAGGTTTGGTTGACAAAAAGATGAGATTGCCTCTCAATTGTAAGCCGAAAGAAGCTTTTGATGCCCTTCTTGATACAGATGCACTGAGACATGACCAAAATCTACGCATGTGTTCCAAAACAAGTAATAGTCACGGATGGGATCACGTCAAATGAAACTCTTGGCAATGCGATAAATTTGGGACCATTGCTAGTCAACTGCTGGAAGATGCCAAGTAGCATTTCGACGCCCAGTATCTGAAGTCGATGCTACTAAGAAATAGCTGATGCTCGACGCATAGCTGTGATAAAAGCTCGACACAGTTCGAGCGCTGACGGCCTAGTCGTAACATTTTGCTGATATTTTGCATAAGCCATGTGCATTTATCTCCCCGTAACCGTAAACAAACTGGCAACGCTGTAAAGCAGCGGATTCAGTTCGTGGTAAAAGGCGTCTTTCGCAGCATCAGAATTGCAATCGGTTGATACAGACAACAATCACAGACAGTCAGTATCTAGTGCTACTCCGTAAGTTGATGTTAGTTAATGTCGTCGAATGGGTCGCATGTAAACCATTGCTTAAGAGGATTTAATCAACTAGTGATGATGCAACCTTGGAGATAAGAAGGACATCCACTCCAGCTTTTCCAGTAGTTGCCGCACGAGCAACTACGGATGCGTGCAATCAACTGGATGTAGTTAGTCCGACAATGACGTGAGTCATTAATTCTAGTTTCAGACACAACACAAATCAATACCCATAGTGTCCAACACACGTGCGAGTGCAGCCTGTTGACCTAGTAGTGCGAACGCTGGACACCGCCATGGAAACACGGCAGTGGCCTTATAATGGACTGTTGCTTATAGGCTTCCAGTGGGTGGTGCGGGAATCTAGATACAAATCGTAAAACCAGTCGTATCGAGAATGCTTTAATTAAGCTTGGAATTATAAAAGGTAGGTTAGTAATGGAAGTCGACGGGAGGGTAATAGAAACAGGTGAAAAAGAAAGAAGGGAAGCAGCAACTGTAGCATGTTTTCGCTTATTTGCCCTATTGTATGCAGCAGGTTAAGGCTGTACTATGGCCGATGCAAGATATGGTTGAAGTTTGAGGAGATAGTCATGAATGTACGAGGGTTGAGATATTGCCAGAAGCTAGACAGAAGAAAGATTACGATGCTCAACCAAAGTTTTGGATCAAAAACATGACCGTAAGGCAACGCGAAGATGCCTGGAGAAGCTTTTGTTCCAAAAGCGAAATGTCGTGTACCCAGCAAATACATTAACCGGAGTAATGAGTTCCTGATCGGTTCCAAACATATTTCAAGGTATCGAATGGTAATGATCCGGCTTTATAGAAATTGAGCCATTCCTTTTCTAAGCCACGACCAGGAAATTTATTTCTTTTGGCCTCTAACCATGTACCAATCCGGCAAGAGTAGATTTCGAGGGACGCGAAAACTCCAAGCAATATAGGGCAAAGGGGCGATGGGGCACGAAAACCGTAGCATAATGCTGTGGTCCAGCCTCACCGCGATGACCGTAATGGAGCAGTTCGGGTCTGAGTGCGACAACGCTTACCAGGCTGACACAAGGGAAAAAGGATGGGTGTCATGATACGTGCGTAACAAGGTTTACCGGATCCCACAAGAATACAAGTTGGCGACTAGAGATGACCGATATTCCGTCTCTTCTGCCACGCAAATGCACGGTCAATGATTTTACAAAAACGAGCTCGATAATTTGGCGCACAAAGAAGGTACATTGACACATTTGTTACCTAAAATAAGTCTTAAAATGCGGTAGAAATCTCCTCATACAATATTTGATTTTTTGGAGAAGTATTATGATGCTCGTTCAGCTGAAGGACCTCAAGCTGTCCGGCGTCCAATGATACGCAACAAAGCTATGGAAAACGAAAATCAACAGCCCCCAACTGAGATAAACGTGTGGAGCCGCAAACGGATCACATCCTAGGGTCGCGCTAGAGATCAATACTAGAAAGTATGGAAACGGTGTCCGCGCTTTCCGGTGTGTGCCATGGAAGAATAGATGAGCAGAAAGTATCCCAAATAACAACAACGGGGAATAGGATCAAAAACAAGACGGGTATTGCGTGTAACTGAATTCTTAGTACAAACATGCCAACAAAAAATAATAAAGTAGGCAAAAATACAATGAAAGAAGTGTCTGAATAGAAACATAAACTATAAGGGGCCAGAGAAACAGAAAGTAGACATCTGTGGGTTGGAAAAATGCAGTGAAGAAAAGCAGAGCGATAATGAGATCAAGATGGGTGTCATTTAGAGAAAGATGAAAAATTCAGCTACGAAAGTGTGTAAGCATTGACTGCCCCCCTCCTACAGTTAACCACTGAAGGAACGATTCCGGAAATATGCACGATCGATTCAATCGCCGTTGAGCACATTGAGGAGGAAAAGACGTCAGTATCGGTGCAAGGTAGCTGTTAATGACCGTAGCGTTGAGGCTTTGTCGAGTCAAGCCGTCAAAAAATCATTGAGGAATGCGTAGGAAGAGGACACTAAAAGGCTCGAAGTAAGAGTTGGATCTAAATTCCACTGTGCTATTTCACTACCTTAACCATGTAAAAAAGAAACTCCGAAATGTTAGCGTTTGCGGGTCGAAAACGCAAACGGTCAAACTGGTCGACTCAAACCACAATTAAAAGCAAATGAACACTTAAATATGAACCGTGTGAACTGACAAGGGACCAGGTAGTCTATAGGCAGACGCCAGGTGTACCGTTGCCTGCGATTGGTCACAAAGCTCCGTCATTAGGTCTTGCGCAAGCATGTCTGGATGAACAGATGAAAACTAGAACGGTATCACGGGACTGAAGATAAGTAGATCATGCTGATTCGAAGCAGCTTAGGCTAAAAAACATGCCGGCACCATGGTAACCACCAATTGGCAGTTGCGATTACCATGGGAGATATTACATTAATTGAGTCCATCCAGTATGCTGACATGAGATGAAGTACCCTGAATTTGTTACGGTCAGGAAGAAGCTGGCGCAATGAACCAGCGTGTTGTGGCAAACTAAGATGAAAGCACTGTGCAAGGAGTGAAGGTGACTCAAGATGGCTGTTTGAGTTTTCCACTACAACCGATTAAGATTGAAAGATTAAAAAGAAAGGCAAAAATGTCAAAGACGCCCACATTTCATAAGGCTCGGTTAAGCAGAAATTTTGTGAACCTTTGGATAAAGTGCTCTGATGAGGTTTAAAAAACTGGCAAGTGCAGAAGCACGCGAAGCTGGTTGAAAAGCAAGAAATGTACAATGGAAAACGGGTCCGATTGAATCTAAGTCGAAGGGAGTCAGTGAGCGATTAAGACAGAAAAATTGAAATTAATCCGTCGGTTAAAAGCCGAATAATCACTGTCCAAAAACGCGAAAAAGCCATCGAAATAAGCGGTAGGCAATGTACAAAGTTATGCCGGTTTCCATTAGGTTCTGTCGGAATTCCAATGACGAGATGCGCTTTTGAAAGCTGGCGATCTGGGAATCCAGACGTTTCGATGCCGCATTCGGGTTTGGCGATGGCGGGACAAGAGAATGCGGAGTAGTAGAGGTCAAACCGTTCGTTGATTGTGCGTGAGCCTTCGCAGTAGCCGTCATGCCATAGGTGTTCACCTGAGAGACGGCGCTGGTGACAGAACAGAAGATGGTGCATTGAAATAAAGTAACGGCGTGACATCAACATGTAGAAATAAGATAGATATCGAAGTCAAACAGCGTTCAACTAGTACTGAAGTGCGGTGCTAAGTGTGTCCGCGGAGCTTTGTAGGTCAGGAATACCGTGTAGTTACATTGGAACAAAATAAATTGCGAATAGCACTATTGTCCATTGTATGATCTTGATATACACAAATGTAAAACGCTACATCCACCCTTTTGGGTCCAGGGAGCCCGCAGACACGATTGCTGGTGATGAGCTAGACGAATCAGGTTACCAGGTGACAGCTTCAACTAGCCTGCTACGTAAAAAAAGCCAGGCGGGTAGCAACCTTACTTTGCCTGAGGTGGGAACAACTAGATGGCAAGCAAAGCTTCCAGCTCAGTTGCATGTCTACTTGAGTAGGTTATCTCAGGTATATTTAATTAATCAATGTATAGCAAGTTAAAATTAGGCGATTATTTTGGTTAGAAGAAGCGAGTTACCAGGTAGAATAGGTGTGCGTATGTGGATTGTCGAATAACCCGGAATTCCCCTGTAGTATGAACGGCTAGCTAATGAAAGCAAGCGCTATAGCGAGGAAAGATACTTGTTGTATTCAGTTCGCGATTGGGAAGTGCATCTAGTAAAAATACAACTAACATAATGCTGTTGTGAAGAACTCAATAATTATCCTAAGTAAACCCCATGGTAAGAGATGTTATGGGCACTCCGAACAGCAGTCCAGCTGACTAACATTGCCCTCGAGTTGCCAGTCTTGTATAGACGGTGTTCCCTGGTGTGTAAGCACCTCTACGGCAACTGATGCCGAGGCTGTCTATGAAGTTCGTCATCTGAAACGCCACAAATTTCTAGGCCCTGATGACTTGCGTCCGGCTCGTTTCAAGGACGGAGGCCCGTCTCCTCTTTATGAATTGACTACACACATGAAGAATAGGTTAGTTTTCGCCCAAATCGAGGCTGTATTGATCACATCTTCATGATCCACCAAACGCTCGAGCACTATCGAACTTCCAGCCGGCCTACCATCGTTCGTTTCCTGGATATACGCCCAGAATTTGACTGTTGGCAGAGCTGCTCTCTGGAGTTGTCTGTTGAGAGGTATGTCAACATACTTCAAGCTATTTATTCCCGAACCTCGGGCCAAGTGCGGGTGTGCGGCGGACCTTCGCCCACTTTAGTAGCACCAGTGGCGTGAGAAAGAGCTGTCTCGCATTAACCTTACAGTTCAACTTCGCTATGGGTGGGTCTGGCAGCTTTGAGTTTCTCTCTGGTGATCGGCTCTGTGAATTGGAGTATGCTGACGACATCGCCGTATTCTGTGACTTCTCGCACGCTGCCCAAGACATGCTGTGCAAGTTGGAGACGTTGGTATCACAGTTCGGAATAACCACTGCCCCTTCCAAGTGCGAAGTATTCCTCCAAGACTGGTTAGAAGCTGTTCGCCCTCTCCGGCACTTTTTTGAAAGTAGTAGGCAAGCTCGTAAACCTTGGGAGTTGTATCAGATTGAATGGATTGACGGATAAGATCGATTTGCGCATCAACGAAGCTAGAGTAGCCTTCGCCAAACCCCGGCATCTCCGGTGCCGGCTTGATCTCAGCCTTTCTCTAAAAGGTCGAGTCTACAACGTTACAATACGAGTAATACTCCTGTATGGCTGCGAGACCTGACCCGTTCGAGCGAGCAATGTCCAGAGATTGTGTGTTTCTGAACACCACTGCCTCCGGAGCATCGCTGGTGTATGTCGATGGTATCGCATTAGTAATGATGACGTTGGACCTCGGATTTTCAAGGCAAACAGTCTCCGCCGACTACTGAGCTGCATAGTTTCCCTGTGTACGTTTCGGTGGCTCAGGCACGTCCTCCGTATGCCTGCGCAACGGTCGCCCCGCGGCGTTGGTTGAAAGTGACGGAGAGGTGGCCAACATGCAACCTGGGTCCGAAATGTCAAGGAGCTAACATTACAGTTAGTCACTGTTGAGCGTTCTAAAATCCCAAGTTAGGGGACCAATGACAGTAAGTACACCTGTTTGGATACCCCACCTGACATGGCTAGGAATCGTACCAAAGGGCGAACGAGTTGTGAGACTTTTCCTCTGACTGCTTTTTACCAGCTATGTTTTCTCGCCGTTGTTGTGGCACTCTGATAACTGTTTATTGACCATATATACGTATATATATATATATATATACATGAGCTGAATTTTCTAAGTGTAAGGAAATAGGTAACAGGTAGAAAAAACAGGGGGTTACATGGAGACCCAAAAAACATTATTTTAAGAGGTCATACCTACTACCTTTAGTTAGTTGAATAGGGAAAGGTCACTTATTGCAAACGGAAACGGATCATGAAAACCCGTAATGCGCATGCAAATATTTTTTAAAATATGTCATCACATATTTTCTAGCTGAACTTCTCATAGAATCATAGGCACTTTAAGAAATTTTGGAAAAAATTGTCCTTGCTTCCTGTTGTCGTCCGTTTATCACCCATGACAATTGAATCATGATAGAATACTCTAAGAAGTTAGCACTTCAAAGCTGACGCACTCATATAGTATTCAAATCAAAATCGATACTTGCACTGAGCTGTAATCAAGTGTAGTGAGCGTGTACCTAAATCATGGATTACGAATATCGAGCCAGCCATGGTGCCTATGTGATCAGCTAGTAAGAACAAGAGAACGGGAGAAATGCGTGAAAATTAAGCAGGAATGAGTCAGAAAGAAGTAGCGCAAATCCCCTACGAAAGAAACAGTGATCGGCGCCCAAATTACCAACATGGTTTTCACATTCACGAAGGTGGTAAAAGGTATCAACAACGTGAACAGAATTGGGACACATACGCCAGTGTTCAGTAGACCGCCTTGATTAAGAACATAAGGTGAACGTAACGTGTGTAGTGATTTTATATCGAACACACTGTGGGAATTAGAGAGTGCATCAGTCCAACGGTCATATGCAGAGCCACCTGTGGATGTGCCCCCAATGCTCAGTTTGGCACAGTTGAACATTTCCTGATGATGATCAGCCTTGCAAAGCCAGCGAGACAGCTACCAGCCTTTAACCAAAACAAACGCACGACGCCTCGGTGTCATAAAACCGATATCCAAAACGAAGTCAATGTTAAATGTTGACAGTTTATGTGTATGGATCAATTTACATGCGGCAGGTAATCCCGGACAGCATAGCGGAAACAAAGTTAGCTTATTCGACTATGACATTTATTTGCATGTAATGAGCCACATAGATATATGTGCAAACTGATTCGTGCATGCATAACAAGCAGCATTATCCAAAGAAGTTACGCGACCTAGCGGCATCTATCCTTCCGGTTGAACTACTCTAGTCTGCCGATACCTTCAAAGTCGGCGACATATTGCCAAAACAATCGAACTGTCGATCAAAGAAAGGAATATCCACAAATACGGTTGATCCAGAAATGATAACTTTGGCTTGTCAATAATTAAAGGAAATAAGAAGATCCGCAAGTTAATAGAAAAACAATGATATAATGAACCGAAACCATGTCATGGGAGAAAATAATTGGAATGCTTAATAGTGTCTTGCCATCATAAACGCACTGCAGACTCGGTTCTCTGGCTGCGTTCAACAGTTTTACACTAAGATTGAGGATCGAAGCTGAGTATGCTACGGATGTGACGCTGCATTTAATTCCCTGATACTAGACCATAAGTTACGCGCTTGACTAGTGATGCACGTCCTAAAACAGCCAGAGGTAGAACACTGTCAATTTCTCTCAACGGCAAACACACGAGCAGGAAAGAATGTATTGATCGCTTGGCTAGATGACAGGGGGCCAAACTCGGAAAGCTAGCCGAAAAGACAGATGACCACGTGTTAAAAGCGAATACACACAAACAATCAGCCAATCAGAGTCTTCTTATGTTATCGGTGTACAGAAAGGTGTCCATGTGAAAGTCAAACAAACGGTTGTTCTGGAGACAGACTGTTGTCTGCCCCACCACTTTTAGGACTAAGTTAAACGGAGCAAAACATCGATGAAAAGAACGGTGAAAGGTATAGGATAGAGATAACACCAGTGGGATATCAAAAAAGCACACAAAGAATCTGGAAACGGAATAAATAGTTGGTTGTTGAAAACGTCCACATTTGTTAAAGAAAGGGGATCAATTTCGGACTAATTAGATTTCAGACAATGAGGCAGAGCAACCACAAGCCACTTGGGATACCAGCGCCAGATGAATTGCGCTGTTTCATACAATTCGGAATGCAGTGGGGGATTCCGAATGATTACTTGGACTATTCTAGCACACTGTATCGAATTCGCACCAGTCAATTAAGAGAGAAGGTTCACCTGTGTTGTGCCACTTGTGTTAGGACAAATGTCTCTCTCCCTTGTTAACTAAAGAGAAATCAGAGTCATTTCATCCATGCGAATCTCGACCACCATTGAATGGATAATGATAAAGGCAGTGTTCAATGGACTAATCCAGTGTGCGAGAGCTAAGGCGACGTAGAGATGAATCCCACGACTGAACCGCGAACTAAGCAGAGTTAGGAATATGGAGGGTGCTTTAGCAGATTCGGCCACAGATGAAGGTAGGTCCTAAACATTCGCGTCTACAGCAAAATTTACCTGGCGATATAAATCACCAGTACTAGATGATGGTTAGTGTCAGATGACAGAAGGGTACAACGAGTCTAGATGGTGTTGCGTGAGCGCTGATGGACAGGTAACTTCTCTATGATCACCTGTCTCTCCAGAAGATTGGCTCACAAGTGCATGCAAAACATTCGGGCCTTAGTATATACCAAAAAGCTCGTATAAAGTTAGAGAGATCAACGGGAAAAGTGTTCCTTGTTGAATGTCCGATACATTTGTCTGCCATTGAGTAAGAACAGTTAGGAGCAGCGAATAGGAATGACTGTAGTCAAATGAGTGACCGATGAAGGAACTGAAAGCATCTATTCCACCTGTGACCG